AAAAAAAAAAAAAACTGTCAAAAAGGACCAACATTCTCATGGTTTGTGGCTCCACTATTTTACAACGTTATATATACCTAAATATACATACATATGTATATGCCCTTCACAAATTAATTATAAAGTATATTTCACCTTTAATTAAATCCACCCAATGTGTATATATCCTCATTAATTTGCTCACTCCCTCATTGTTTCTTATCGACCCGCCCATTAAACGTCCTGATCTCGAGTCTCAAAAGCAGATAAACAAATAAGTGAGCCCTTCTTTTCCCTCAAGAGTAAAAAATAAATTTACTTAATTAGGGACAACGATTCAAAGAGGTTTTTTGGGAGGTTCTCAATAACAAAAAGAATGATATCTGTCTATGTAAAGTCGCAGTCATCAAATGAGAGCTCCGATGTGGGTCTTGGCTTGATTCAAAAATATTCATCATATACAATAGTACTCTCGCTAAAAAGAAAAAATTAAAATCTTTTTTAGCTATTGTTCGTAAAAGAAGAGAATAATAATATTATTACTACTACTAGGATAAATGGGCGGGAGTGTGGTGTGGACTCTGGGGAGAGAATGGACATAGCTTTTAGGGCCAGGGCCCATAATTGAAAAGGACTGGAAATAAAAATAATAGAAATTTGAAAGGGGGTAATGGTGGAATACGTGAGGACTATACAATCTAACAAAAGTGGTCCTTGTAGGGGAAGGGGGTCCACGTGGCACACGGCCGGCAGGGTGTGGTCAGGCCACGTGGGAGAGGTGGTCCAGGTAGGACGTCTGTAGTTCTGTATGGACACGTGTCAACGGATGACAGGTGACAGCCTGTTGAGGTAGAGAGAGTATCATCAGCTCAGGATAGCCGTGGAGATGGGGGAAAAATTACAATGGGGGGATTCAATTGGTTTTTCCATTTTTTGGATGATGATGACCTTTAAAAGCTAAAAGGCTGGAGATGGAGGGCAGTGGAACGAGCCGGAACGTCGTCGGTGGAGGTCCGCCGATGGTAACTGCCGCCTTTCTCTTTACCATACAAGATTTATTTATGAGCTTTTCACCCTATATTGGCTACATGCAACAAATGTACCAAAAAAAGAAAGATGCAATTCAACGTACGGTTCATTTCAATCATCTATCCCACCACCTCTCCAAAAAAAAAAAAAAAACAAAAATCATCTATCCTGCCATGTATAATACTCATTCTTTTCTAAAATTATTGTTCAATTTTAGATTTTTCAGTTTTAGTACTGAAATTAAAAATCAAAACTCGATAATTATTTTAAAACGAATTGAGTATTATGATATATATATATAAGTATGACACTATATGTTTTATTATTATTGTTACAGTTTTGAATACGAAAGCATGTATATTTTCAGTGTGGGCTTTGAAAGACTAGCGAAAACAAATTCTTTCAAAACCTATAAAAAAGAGGAAAGATGAAATCTTAAATTTTTTCTCCAAAAATGACTATTATGTTTATTACTCCTTCCGTCCCAAAAAAAATAGTCAACATCAAATTTTTAAATTTGTATTAATTTTAGTACAAATTTAAAGACTCAAGGTGAACTTTTTTAAGAAAAATTGAAAAAATATATAATGTGATATAGTAAAAAAGAAATTTAATTTAAGCCGAAAAGAGAATCTAATTTTCCTTTGGGGTGGTCCAACTGGTGAGAGCAACAAACTACCACTGGCAATCTACCAGTCATATGTCCAAACAAGTAGTAGAGCTTGATCAATTTATGGCACATGGATGTATTCATTAACAATTTTTTTAATAAAAAATATCACTTCTTTTTGTTGGTAAAATGTAGTAATTAACATATACTCTAAGTCTCAAAATGATTATGCGGTTTTTCTTAATTATTTTTTGAACAACAATCAAAGTCATTTTTTGAGATGAATGAGTCGTTAATTATATCACTTGAGCCTCTAATGAACTCAGGCATGTCTTTATAGCAATTTTGCTTTTTGAGTTGACATATGATGAGTCCTAAACAGATAAATGGGCCAATGAGTATAATTCCCTCGTGCCTCGTCATTAACTCGTTTCATTGCCGGACTTACAGAATTAGAAGGAGGGTTGGTGCATGATGTCAAACCTTTTGTGTATCCAAGTTGTATGTTACTTTGTCTGTCATAGCAAAATACTGTTCTCCCATCTCAAAAAACTAGTATAATTCACAAATTATAATATAATATGATTTTTTTTTTTTGGTTAGAGCAAAATATAACAAATTTAATTATGTTTTTTGGGACGGAGAAAATAAAATAAACATCACACATCCAACGGACACATATATGTGCGTTTGTTTGTATTAAATTCGAGCCTCTCCTTTTCTTTTTTCTTTTTCTTTCCCTTCTTCCATATATATACGGTTGAAATCACTGAAATATCCAAGTATCCAACAAAAGAGTTCAATAGTAACAAATGCTTTCCCCTAAATATGCATACTTATGGCTCTCTGTTCATGACCCTCGATTCTTTATCTACAAAACCCTAAATTTCAGAGTTGCAATTATGGTCCCAATGATCGATCAGACCTAAAACTCATAAAAACTAAAATCAAACACTAGCTTATTTAAGGACGAAGTACCTAAAAGATCACTGGTCCAAAGTCCAAACTCCCAAGTGTAAGACCACATGATGATCTAGCTGTTGAGTGGTAATTAATGGAAATATGCAGCACTACACATATATAGCCTCATGTGATTTGTTCATTCCTGTGGACCTTGTTCATCTATTGTTAATTCTATTTCAATCTCAACCAAAACATTCAGTTAAGATTAATGAGAAAAACCTAGCTAGATTCTAAAACAAGGCCGATGAGAATAACCTTTCGCTTCATTCCGATTGTGTATGACTATTTTTAGCAACATTGTAACAAGCTAGGGAAGTCAGTTACGGACTAAAAAGTTCATTAATTAGGTCGAACTGTAGCTAGTCATGTACCAATACACATGAAGTAAAGCAGATTGAAATCATACTAATGCGTTGTCTATTGTTTATAATCATCTCCTTTCCAAAATATTAATGTCTCTTTTTTTTTTCAAAAAAAAAAAATAAAACAAACACACACACACACTATTTTTGGTGTAGCGAGAAAAGATTTTTTTTTTCTTGAAAGTAAAAGAGAATATATTAACTGAACTAATTCAGCTAGTGAGGTTGATTATTATGAACAGGTTTCCTTTATGTATTAAAAAAAAAATTGTGTTTGGCGTTAGCCAACCTAATAAAATCCATGCAAACTTCAAACAGAATTCCGTTCCATGACTAGAAAAAGCATAGCGTTGTAGAAAAATACTTCATCTGCTAGATAGTCCCGCAACACTATAAATTAAGGCATGCAGTAGGTCTAAGGTTTTTTTTAAAAAAAAATAAAAAAATAAAAAAAAGTGCGTCTAAGTTTGGAATAAACTAGAATGGTCGATTCACCGAAAACTGTTACGCACATACGCTGAAACAGAACATCGGTGGTAATAAAAGCATCCACAATGGGTATAATAATATGTCAAATCAGCATTTTGCCATATTCTACTTTTATTACAATTTTTTCTACATTAATCTTCCACTATAAAAGTGTAATATAATTAATTCAATATTGATTGATCATAGACCCACAATTGAGCTATCCATTAATTTTTTTAATTCATTTTCAAAAATAAATTAAATAGAATAAACTGTATTAATTACATGATGATCCACCAAATTATGTATTCAACAGTGTAACGATTCTTACACTTTCCTAATTTCTTACACTCTATATAATAGTGAATAGTGTAATAAAATGGTAATTTGATTACTTTTTATTAATCACCAATAAAATGCTCTAAATTTGAAAGAATTCGATGATTATGATACTTGGGCTGCCCTGCTAGGCCTTACATTGTTATACTGTGGGCTATTATGTTGGTGGGAGCTTCCAAATGATTCAAGTTGATTTGGTTTTCTAGGATCCAAAAATCACACACAGATTTTTCGTTTAGCTTTTCACAACTCGTAAAGAAAATTTCAGTTCTATTATCGCCAAATTTGATGCATAAATTGAATTGATAAAGCATAAAAATATCAAATCGAATTTGATTTTGACTCTTTTGGTTAAGAAAGCAGGAAAAGAAGAAACCAAAAGTACGCAGCATAGCGGCAATAAGCGCCAAATCCGGACATATATATATACACATGGGAGATCCAAGATACAATCATTCTTTTTTTCCTTTGTGAACTTATTATATTTTTCATTCTGAAATTATTGTCCTTCATTTTGGATGATGATCAGTGTGCAGTCCAAAGTTTCAAAAGTCAGCTGCTAACGAATGAACACGTTAATCTCTCAAGTCTATGCACAACAAGCCATAGTTTTTGCTCAACAAGTTGCCATTGCCTTTTAATAATAGTGCTATGTTCTCTTACTAGCACAATTTTTTATTTTTATTTTTTTTTGTGCGGAGCCAAATTGTAAAAGAAGATTGATACTTTTTTATCAGAAACTAAAACAATATCGTTCTTGATCCTTGGGTACAAACTACAAAGTAGTGTTATATTGGAATTCTAAGTCACCTGGAAATGTAAACTACTGCAATTCAGTTAGATATGAACTTATAATTTCTAAACAATCATGGTTAAAGTTCGCATTGAAAGTGATGATTGCTAAAGTTCGCATTGAAAGTGATGATTGCTAAACATTCATATATGATGCTCTGCAAACAAGCAAAATGAGCCCCAAAACAACCAACTTGAGTGAAAAACAGAGAACTTGTTCTATAAACGTAATGTTTATAAGCAAAGAACTTGAGCAAAATGAGGATAATAACGAGTAATAAAAATTAAACAGATAAAAGTCTTATAGACATTAAAATACACATTTCTGCAATAATTTGTGCTATCAGATTCACCATTTCACAATCAAATATATAGATAAATATGTGGTACAAGCAAAAATCCAGTTATAGTTACAAACTTAGAAAATGCATAAATCAGTTTCGCAAGCTCATTTCTGATCATGTCCAGCTAGGCTGAATCCAGGCACAGTCCACGAACCTGCTGGTTTCATTGAAACTCTGCAATTCTTGTTGGCTCCCCGCAGAATGATATCTCTTTGTGCTTAAAGAATAATACACCAATTCATCCTTGTAGAATTTAGGAAAATAAATTCTATTCGCCACATATGGATTTGGCGCGAGACAAGATATCGATGACAGTCTACTCAAATATAGACAATGACCTCCCAACGTTTCCATTTCTTCCCATTCCTCGTGATCCCTGAGCTTAAATACTCGAACCCACGGTCTTTTTCCTCGATCATCATCACCCACTAGTATGGATAGAAGCTCTCCACCACACTCGGTCAGATAATTTCGTTTAAACTTTGGACGAGGGAAGACGAGGCCATTGAGAACTTCCCAGCAGGGTATGCATTCTCCATCTTGATCAATAATAAATCGCCCACATCCAAGCATCCCATTATCCCCCAAATAGTAAAACAAGTTTCCCAAGACTACTGGACTGCTGGAACCTTTGATAACTTTTTTTTCGACGCCAAACGCCCTCCATTGTGCTTTTCCAGATTTCCGTTGTGTTTCTCCAGATCCTGCAGTGAAGATTTTAACAAAATATGATCTCCCATTTTGACGAGGGTAATGAGACATTGCTAGGATTGGACAATCCGAGGAAGAAGATGGCTTGCTTAGGAAGGTATGAATATATAGACCCACGATGCTCCCTTACACAAGCATGTCCTGCTTTATGTATTTGCATTGTCAATGGATTAAGAAAAGCTAAATCGTGGCTGTTTTCCAAGAGTAACCAACCACCTCTGGTGCAACGAATCACATAGTCTTTTAAGGCAGTGGGAGCCTTAACTGACAATTTTCGACTAAGATTGGAATCGGCCACTATATTGTACACATCTTTACTTCTATCCTTGTATATCAAGGATGGACGGAAGAAGGAATTCAACATCGGGCGAACGATGCTGGAGCTGCAAACTCGATTGAGACAGCGAAAATGAATGTAATCAACATAGCACAGATTTCCCGCAATCAAACCAAGTACCTCTTGGGGTAGGTCGCACAACGAAGGAATATTTCCAGAGTTTGCAGCCATTGCTGATTCATTCTGCTGCTCCATCACCCGTCTTCTCTTAGTAGGACGGCTTCTTTGTCGTCTACACTTGTTCCAAAACTCCGCCATGTCACTAGTTACTACACCTGTGAAATCAGGTGCATTCTCCTGCTGTTGTTGCTGATTATTAACAAGCTCATGACCATCATCAAGAGGCAGAGCAGGCATAATCCAATAAGGAAGCCATTTTTCCCCTTCTAGAATATTGGGTGGGCAAACCAAATATGATGTAACTTTCTCATCCTCGACCCTGTAAGAGAACAAGGTTTGATCGTTCTCAAAGGTGAAATATATGTAACTCCATTCGCTGTTTGAGCCGCCAACAGTGCTTAAGGAAAGTGAGTAGTCAGGGCACAAGAAAACAGTCCCCCCATTCAAACTTGTCCTTTCCTGCCAAGTATTCGACGAAAAATCAAATTGGAGAATGGATATTGACAGTTCATCTCGATATCGATTTATAGACAGCGGGTACATTAAGATGAGATAGAGATCTTGATCCCCCAAATTCACCAAGAAAATCCTTACAAAGTGGCGTGAGACTAAACCTTGACAGTGCCGTTTTGCGAGGAAACCTGCACGTTCATCATCATCTTCCGGCATTAACAAACGCGTCTCGCAATGATCATTGTCGTAATCAATAGTAATCTGCACCAGATCTGTGTAGCCGGAGGCCGTGGCATATATGGTGCCGTTGAAGATGACAGGACTGCACAAGAAATATCGTGGTTTAAGAGGGTAACCAGTTTGTGCTATAATGCTATCAGCATAATTGAACACTCTCCAAGTGTTGTCTCGGTCACCAATGCGGAAATATAAGATCCGAGGCATCTGTTCAACAAATAAAAGTACCAAAGAGGGTGAGGAATCTGACAACAATCCATAACGAATAATATAAGCTCCAAGACGTCGTCCGAGAGGAGGCAAATGGATTACTTCGTCCTCTTTGACACTCCACGCAAAAAAGAACTGCTCCTCTGGAGTGAACTTGCTCAAAAGTATCCGGTTCCCATCAGGGGAACAATAGACTACTCCTTGCCGTCGTAAATTCGGAATATCCTTGAAGATGACACCTCTTGAAGATGAATTAATGTTACAAAAGGTTTGACATAAATTATCTTCCCCATGACGATACACTAACCACGGACAATGAGTTTTTGATTGCAGAAATCCAGGTGCTGGAAATTCATATGCTTCTTTTGGTCTTATCCTCATGAAATAATCCATGTCCCTGCTCCTGTTACTGCTCCTTCTCCTCCTCATATTTGCTCAAACAATAAGAAATTAAACTAGAGAAAGTTAAGCAAACCGATCCAACTCTTGCAAATTAAGAGATCTTTGTTGTCTAATTCCTCGCTAATTAACCACCCATATGCATCATCCAATCAACCTTCGAAATAGTGATGAAAAAAGAATCAATAAGTGTTCGTGTTCAAGAAAAAGCAATTAACCCTAGCTACTGATGGAGAGAGTATTTATATAGGGAAATAAAGTCGGCCAAAAACAAATTGGATTGTAATAACTATATAATCACAGTTATCCACCAAAATAAGTACTATTATTCCTATGTTAGTAGGGAAATCTCGGCATTGCATAACTTATGGGGTAAGAATTCCAATCCAAATAATAATGTAATCACAGAAGAGTCAACATAATTCACTGATGGGGGAGAGCCTATTTAAAGGGAAATACGTCGGCCAAAAACCATTCCAATAACCAATTGGATTCGAAGCAATTGATTCTCGTTTCCAAAAATTACTAAAATCTTATCTTATTTTAATTTGAAAATCTTGGCCAATCCCTTGTTTTTCTTTTTTCTTTTTTTTTTTGCTCTGTCCATTGAAATATTAAGTTAATGGCAACTGATTCCCCCGGCTCTGTCCATTGAAATATTAATCTAATGTCCATTGAAAACATAATACTTAATAATAATTTCTTAGGTCAACAACTGCTCTATTATACAACCAAGCTCTTGTTCTCGTGAGCGGTGCAGTATTAGAGAAGGGAAAAATCGCGAACAAAGAGGGTTGGGGGAAGAGAAGGGAGGGAAATTTTAGGCAAAGGGGTGTTAATTTTCAGCAAACGTGTTACATCTTTTTTTTCTTTTTTCTTCATTGTTTTTTTTTTCTTTGGCATTTATAGCACATCTACAGTTCAATTACATTTTTGTATTTCTACTCTGAACGCATAAGAAAGATAAATTCTAATGACACTCTTAGTATTATTTCTCACTCTTAAAAAGTTTATTTAATTTCAAATACGGAGAATTCTTATCAATATTTTCAATTGCATCCTTGTTTTCTTTGTTCATTTAAACCCAAATATTTCATGTTTTAATACATGCTATAATTATACATAGTGATATTAGCCCAAAAAAATAGTAACAAATATACATAATGACTTAATAAGTTTCGTCTATTATACAACCTTCTTAAGTACCAATGACGCTAGTAGTGTACATATTGTAATTATTTAACTCATTTACCGTTATCATCATTTTCATAGTGAATATTTAATACATTTTTATAAGTATGTAATTAAACCGTGATTTTGTATTTTTTTTTTCCTAACTATACTTGTATACAATTTATAGCACATGTCCAAATCATTGAAAAATAGTATACATCCAATGATAAACATAATGAAATTTTGTAGTAAAATGTAATAATGACTAATGAAAAGACTAACTAGAAAATTACACCATTAAATTTCACTATACATAACATGATCACTATAAGTATCATGTCATTGAAGGTACAAAATTTAAGCAAAATTGTATTTGATTGAAACTACTCATTATATCATTCACTAAATAATATTTTATTAAATAAAAAGATTGTAGGTGATAAGTTACATAGAGAAACTTGAAATTACTCGAAAATTCTGTGTCTAATATTTTTGTAAAATATCCGTGGATAATATCTTTATTAATCACGGATATATCCACAGAAATATTTACCACATAAGATTTCATGGATAATTCATGGTTAATTTTTATTTTACCTCCGAGATTAACCACGAACTAATTAACCATGGAATTTTATGTGGTTAATTCGTGGACAAATATTTGACTATCAATATATTAACCACGACTATAATTGTCCGTGTGTAAAGTCGCGAATATTTCGTAGTTATTCCATGGATAAAAATATTAGTGTGCTTTTCGTGATTAATTCGTGTGTAAATCAAAAAAATTTAACCACAATTAAGATTTCCGTGTTTGATTTCGTGGTTAATGGCTCATTTTCTTGTAATGTCAATCAAAGGCTTAAAAGCAACGAATTCCCAAAGTTTATGCTTACTGCCTTATTGGGGAATGAAAGGAAGGCTCCTGCAGCATAGTGTCTTGTTGCAACAATTCCGATTCTCAAGGCCTTGCTCATTAAAAGAATCACTGTCAAATTCTTTTCTAGAAAGTTGCAGCAATGAGAAACACATCAGGAAAAAATCAATTTGAACTACTTGTCAATGTATAGTACAGAATCTCTTCTCTATATCACTTCTCGATCAATTTCTTACAGAATTAGTTTAAATTCCCTAATACAACAAAAGTAGTAAAGCAAATCTAATGAAGGTGCAAACATGCTGCAGCACAATAGTACACACAAAATGAATTCAAAGACAGAAGTACTCCCTTTATCCTAATTAAAAAGTTCATATTGAATTTTTAAATTTTTACTATTATTCGCTGTGAAATATTTCTTTGGGACATATTTAGTAATATACAATGAAATGAGTAGTTAGGCAACCACTCAAGTGTCCTCATGTAATTCGTCGAGATAATATACCAACATTCAAATAACTACTTATCATCCACAATGCAAAGTGAAAACAAAGAAACTATACATATACTAGTAGACAAAGTACTAGAATGCCACGTAACAGAAGCAACAGACTTTTAAAAATGGTAGGGTAATTCATCTATTCTTCCTGCAATTATATTAACTGCTACCTCCGTCACATAATTATTGTCGAGTTTGAGTTCTCATTTGTAGTTCAAATTATACTAAAAGTGAGATATCAAATAGGACAATAATTTTGGTATAGAGAGAGTATAAATTAATTTTTGCAACATGTCACTCGAATTACCAACAATATTTAGTAAAAGAGCTATAGACATAACCACATATATAATAGAATATCCAGTGTACATGATAGTTATCTTTTACCGGAACTATTCTTAGCTCCGCCGAAGTGAAGATAATGCAGATCCTCAGGTACGCCTATAGTTTACTTTGTCGCTGATTTGATAAAATTGATTATTGCTTTTGACATAAGACAGTTTGCCAAGCCAAAGGGGAAACAGAAAACTACTAATCAACCCTCCGAAATTACTCGCACTATCAGGTCCATTTCTGTAATAACACCATGTCAACATGAATCACATTCGTAAACTCCTGAATCTTCAAGGTTCCATACACTGAAGTATAATATGGCTGAATAATGAAATGTGTTTGTCGCAGGTTTTCAGAGGTAATTATCCACTAAGCATGCTGATCTGGAATATTTACATTAAGCACACAACTAACGCAGGAATTCATTTTGCAAACTAATCAGCCTTCTAATTCTATTTCATAGCATAAAATAGTGGTGAAAAGTTTTGTGCAGTAATTAAAAAGAGTAAATGATTATTACTGATTTGTTTGATGCAATATACTACCTCGTGTAAATTAGACATAATTTTGTATATGTCCAATCAAGTATCTTTTCAAAGTATCAATATATTTATTGATATTTAAAAAAAATTTAAAAAAAAGTGACGATTGCATTAAGAAACAAAAAGACAAAAAAAAACAAAAAACAAAAAGAAATGCTTGTGAGAATCACGTGGGGACTATCACGCGCAAACAAACATTCCATAAGTATAACATAGAATGAAGATGAAGAAACATGGTTGGCGTTAGCCAACCTAATAAAATACTACTTTACAAACTTCAAACAAAATTAGCCGTTCCATGTCTTTCAGAAAAAAGTCAAGAGTTGTAGAATAATACTCTCTCCATCCACAATTATTATCCAATTTAAATTTTTATTCCTACTTTAAATTATATTAAAAACGAAATTTCAAACTAGACAATAATTAGAACAACTCTATCGGCTAGATAGCCCCGCAACACTATAAATTAAGGCACCCAGTACCTCTTAAGTTTTTCGTTACGCTGTGAATAGAACGTAACATCGGTGCTACATAAAGTTGAAAGAATACCGCGATTATGATAGACTTGGGCTGAGGTCTTGGGCTGCCTGCTAGGCCTTACATTGTTATACTGTGGGCTGTTCTGTTGGGGGGAGCATCCAAATGATCGATTTGATTTCGTTTTCTTGGAGCCAAAAATCACATTGATCCCTTTTTTCTTTTGAGCTTTTTCACAACTCGTCAAGAAAATGGTATTCTTCCAGTTCTATTATCGCAAAGTTGATGCAGAAATTAATTGAGAAAGCATCAAAAACATCAAATTCAATTTTGACTATTTTTTTTTCCTTTGTGCGTCGAGAGCAGGAAAGAAAGAAACCAAAAGTAGGCGGCATATATAGTGGCGAAAAGATATACATATGCCGGTCGAGATACAGTATTCGTTTTTGCTTTGTGAATTTAGCTTCATTTCGGGCGATGATCAGTGGGCAGTCCAAAGTTTCGAAGTCCAGTTGCTTATTAAAGTCTCAAGTCTATGCACAACAAAGCCCTAGTTTTTTACTTTTTGCTCAACAATTTGCCATTTCCATTAGTAATATGATGTTTTCTTACCTGCATATTTTCGTTCTTGATCCTTGAGTAAAAAGTAGTGTTATACTGGACTCTTAAGTAGCCTAGAAATGTAAGACTATAGAAAGGCAAGCCAGATATCTACTAAGAATTCCTATGAATCACTGGTAAAGTTAGCGCAGGCAGGAATTATTGCTAATAGCCATATATGATCATCTGCAAACAAGCCAAAATTGAGCACAATAACGAGCAACTGAAGTAAAATTAAACAGAGAAAAGTCTTATAAACATTAAAATACACACCTCCAGAATTTTCGCTACCCGATTCACTATTTTACAAAAGCTCATTTCTGATCACGTCCAGCTAGGCTGAATCCAAGCACAATCCACGAACTTGATGGTTTCATTAATACTTTGCAATTCTTGTTGGCTCCCCGCAGAATGATATCTCTTTGTGCTTAAAGAATAATACACCAATTCATCCTTATAGAATTTTGGAAAATAGATTCTATTCGCCACATATGGATTTGGAGCAAGACAAGATGTCGATGACAGATCTGTACAACCGGAGGCCGTGGCGTATATTGTGCCATTGAAGTTCACAGGACTGCACAAGAAATATTGTGGTTTAAGAGGGTAACCCGTTTGCGCTTGAATGCTTTGAGCATAATTGAACTCCTTCCACTTCCGGTCAAGGTCACCAACTTGGAAATATAACAACAAAGGACTCTGTTCAACAAATAAAAGTACCAACAAAGAGGACCACGAATCTGTGTTGACCATCATTAATCCATGATGAATAATGTTAGATTCAAAACGTGGTCCGAGAAGAGGCAAGTGGATTACTTCGTCCTCTTTAACACTGCACGCATAAAACTGTTGCGATCCTGGAGTGAACTTTGTCAAAAGTATCCTGTTTCCATCAGGGGAACAATAAACTATCCCTTGCCGCCGTAATTCCGAGATTTTCTTGACGGTGGCGGCGCTTCCTCCTGAAGATGATGATTTGATGGTACAAAACGTTTGATATTTTGTATCTTCTCCATGACGATACACTAACCAAGGATATTGATTTTCAGGCGCAGGGAATTCATGTGATCCGCTGCTTTTCCCCACTGATCTCCTCATGTTTGCTCAACCAAATAAATTAACAATAGAAGATTAGGTAAAAATCGATCCAAACTCGTGCAAACTAAGAGAGCGTTGCGGTGCAATTGAAATATTAATTTAACCCATTGAAATATAAAAACAATAATTTCTTTCTGCCGTGATATCTAGATAAATAATTTCACCGACTTTAAAATTGCATGGAAACACCCCATAATTTATAGAAAATACACAATAATCCCAGGATCCACCACATTGGTGAATCCCATAGCATAAAACTATAAATAGTTCTAGTTTAGTATTTTTTATAAAAAAAAAATCCACCCAGTGGACCCTAGTTAAATGTGGATAAAACCCTCCGTTACAAACCCCATTGTGGGAATCGAACCCTGGTCTATTACCAGGAAAGATAACACCTAACCACTAGTTTTAGTTTAGTAATCCGTGCATATACAATTAATAATCGATAAATTTGATCAAGGGATTGATAACTCTAATAAATTAGATGTTATGAGCTATTTGGCTTGTTCTGTTCAACCAATCCTTCCATGATCTAAGCACAACAGTTATTATAGAAAAACTTGTTGGTATGTAACTTCCATGATATGTATGATTCAAATAATTTGGAAGAATGGATACTAATAAACACGCGCAGACAATTCTTGATTTAGAACTATCCATACAGGGGGTAATATGAAATTGCTTACAATGGATATAACCAAAAAGAATATGTATGATCCTGAGTGACCGACCATACTCAGATAACAAGCACTTGGGACACTGGTAGCAGAATTAAAGCCACTGAAAAAAAAAAACAGATACATTAAGATATCATGTGCAACTCAAAAAATCCAAGTAAAAGGATTAAGAAGGCAGATACCGAGTTAAGAAAATTCCATCGAATTACATCACAGTTAAAGCACCTAGGAAAAGTTTCAGTTTGACGTTGTTTTTTTTGCTTCTTTTACTCTCAGATTGAAATCTGATATTTGCTAATCAATTAGCGAAAATTAAAACTTAAAAAGATGCACAGAATAGTGAGTTGGCCATGAAATTCACATCATAGTTCACACATTTATCCACCATGTAGAGAGTTAAAAAAGCAAATCATTCGAGCAATTTGGAGCATATATTACAAATCCATGACTTGGTACGCAGCACCATTTATATGTTCCCTTTAAGAACATTTGCTAGTTACATACAGATATCGGTAATGCTGACGGTATGCATATATGCTCGTTGCATAAAGATAGGAGATACAAAAATGGCACAAAAACATTAATGAATAATATGTGAAAACAGATTATTTAAACCAAATATTTTATTCCAAAAGGATTGATTTAGTTTTCTTGGAGCTAATAATCACACTCAGATTTTTCTTTTAGCTTTTCACAACTCATAAATGAAAATGGTATCTTCCAACAATGTTATTGCAAATTTGATGCAGAAATTAAATTGAGAAAAGCATGAAAACATCAAACTCAATTTTGGCTTCTTTTTTTTTTTAGGCGCTGAGAGCAGGAAAAAAAAGAAACCAAAAGTACTTAGCATAGCGGCAATAAGCTGATAAGCGCCAGTTCCGAGAACACACACACACACACACACAGACACACACACACACACACACACACACACCGGTGATCTGAGATACAATCATTCGTTTTTCCTTTGTGAACTTATTATATTTTTCGTTCAGAAATTATTGTCCTTCATTTTGGGTGATGATCAGTGTGCAGTCCAAAGTTTCAAAAGTTCAGCTGATAACAAATGCACACGCTAATACCTCAAGTCAAATCTATGCACAACAAGCCATAGTTTTTTCTCAACGATTTTCCATTAGCTTTAAAAATAGTAGTCCCCCTGTTCAAATTTATTCTCCAGTTTGGATAATCATTTTTAATTCAAATTGTACTAAAACTTGAAATCCAAACTAGAGAATAATTTTGAGACAAAAGGAGTACTATATTTTGTTACCAGCACATTTTTTTTTTTTTTTGGTCTTCGTCTTTGTCGGAACCAAATTGTAAAAGAAGATTGGAACTTAAAAGGTAGAGACTAAAGCAATATTGTTTTTGATCCTTGGGTACAAACTAAAAATTAGTGTTATATTGGAATTCTAAGTAACCTAGAAATGTAAGACTATGGCAAGTCAGATATATACTTATAAGACTGAAACCAATCTAGAAACCCGGAAACAAAATTTTGTTCCCTTTCGTCCAGTAAGTAAAGTAGGTATACGAACTTCTTTCCCTTAGACTCTATTGGAACAAAGCAAAGAAGGGGGCGGAATGAAGAAAGGGAGGGGACAAGGGCGGTTTTGCTTGGTGCGAAGGCTGTTGGTACAGGGGTAGAGTACAGTACTACAGGTCCTCAGACTTCCTGGCGATATTTCTTTTGGGCAGCTGTTCATCATTGTATCTCGCCAATACGGCCCATGGTTAAAATTTGCATTGAAAGTGATGATTTCTAAATAGCCCTATATGATAATCTACAAACAAGCAAAATGAGCCTCAAAACAACCAACTTGAGTAAAAAACAGAGAACTTGTTTTAAACATTACATTACACATTTATTTAGCATTTTCACTATCAGATACTCCATTTTACAATCAAATATATTGATAAGTATGTGTCACAAGTAAACAAACTACTGCTCTCCAGCTCTAACTACAATCAAGGAACATGCATAATCTGATCAAGTCCAACATAGGTATAATATTGTTCAAAATTTATCCAAATCAATAAACCATCATTGCAAATATTATCTAATATTTCAGAAAATCCTAAAAGAAAATAAATGGTTATAATAATAGTTTTTATATTAAAACTCGACTTTGAACCAACAGTTTATTACAGTTTTGAATCGTTCATTAAAACCACTAGTTATTTATTATTTGAATACTAAAATCGTAATCGAACCTTCATTGTGCTGTTCAGTTATAGTTCTTGAAACCGTCAAGGTCTGATAGAATCGTAACTGGCGGTTCGATTTCGGTTTTAACCATAGACATGCCTAGTCAGGGAAAATGAAGTACACCGTAAGTAAGCATTGTGCACCATAGTGCATTTTTTAGTAAGTCGGTTAAGGACCCAAAAAAAATTTAAAATTAGTGACAATAAAAATATTTATCCCATGGAAGAAAAAGCGAGACAGAGATATAATTCTAGGAAATTGAAACTTTGAAAAACAAAAAAATAAAAGCAACAAGACAACCAATTTCCCACTTTAAGAATGATTAAGACTCTGCTGCTTGTGTAAAACCCTAGAATTCCTGCCCAATGGATCTACAGGATCTCATCCCCATGAACCAACGATTCATCTGGAATTCACTATTCAAGGGCTTAATGAGGGAGCAACGTGACGTCAGGGGGATTGAGTTCAACATCTTCAGTCCGGAATTCATTGTAAGTTACTACTAATTTGATGGATAGTTTTTCCTTTTCATCCCAAACTTGTTGAATTTTGTGTTTTAATGGAAAATATCGACCAATCTCAGTGATGGAGACAAAGTATTTGAACTGTTGTTGTCAATTTTAACTTGGAAAATGTTAATTGTAGCGAGAAAAACTATCAGTGCTCCATGTATAGCACAACGAGACCTTCTATTTTCTCCGATCAACCCCTCCAATTCTGTCGCCAGGGATCTCCGTTCCTGACATGAATGCAGTAACTACATAATGTCTTGAAGCCCACGGATTTAGCCCAAGAACAATAGATTTTATGACAATTCAATTGATAAATTTTTGTGGGCATAACACTTTAATTTATAGATTTTTACTGTATATTCCTCCTGTTTCTCAAATTATTGCTAAGTTTAGATTTTTCACTTTTAGTACAATTTGCATTACAATTGAAAATACAAACTCGACTATGATTTCAAACATTGAAGATAGTATTTAATTTTTTTTGGTAAATAGATAGTATATAATTCAAAAGGTTAAGATAGTATATAAGTACACAAACTTTTATGGTTGGATGAGTAGCTGCATGGGTTTTAAATTTTTTAACAGATTCATGTAATGGTTTAGATCTATGCTTATCTATCATGTTTAAACAAAGTGAAAAAACACAAAGAGTTAAGACCTTACTAACCTTTTTTTTTTATTTGGTTTCTTGAAAACTACTTGCCTTTAATGATATGTACTATATTTACTTATATGTTTTTTTTTTCCGGTTCCTCACCATTTGTCATATAGGGTTATAATTTTTCACACTAATATTAATGGATAATTATTGTACTAAGCGTTCGTCGTATTTTTTTTATTTCTCTTTAAGAAAACAAATTGTAGGTTTTGACTTGTTCATTGTGTCTAAGTTGGCCAAAAACCATCCCAGTAACTAATTAGATTTGAACTATTTGACTCATATTTCCAAAACTTATTCTTATTATTTTTAATGGAAAGTCTTGGCCAGTACGTTTTTTTTTTTTTTTTGCATGTCGATTGAAGTAATTGCCCCTTGAAATATAGTAATAAACAATAATTTATGCCATAATATCTTGATAAATTCAAGTTGGAAACAAAAAACAACCAGGGTTCGCATTGGATAAATCTCGCGTATATTATTTATAATTCATATGGAATAGGTTTCTTAATTTTCTCAAATAATAAACTCAAAATTTTACGTTATTTTTTAGAATTTTTTTTTTCAAGAAAACACCCCATAATTTGGCTATTTATTTTTTTTTCTCTGTTCAACCATTCCTTCCGTGATCTAAGCACAACAATTATTTTAGAAAACTCATTGACATGTAACTTATATGATAAGTATATAATCTCATATACTATGGACAAAGGGGTTGTAACAAATATAAACATGCGCAGACATCTTGGTTAACCGTACCGTCATAGGTCTGGCACACTGTACCTTGATGAATTGTCCCCAGCCTTGACGTTTATATCGACATCTCGTTGTGTTGTACGCGTACGATTAACATTTTTAGCTACATTTTAACGTTTTCTGGATTAAAACTCACAACAATTAATTCAGAAATTCTATCACCGAAGTTATTTGTAGTTTTTTCAATTAAATTCATATTTCAACAGTTAATATGACTAATATTTACACTCTGAAACCACTTTCTTGCTCCGACAGCATGACTTCTATTGTTGCAAAACTCATAAAGATACCGGAGAGCACAGTACAGGATATATCGAGAGGTTATTCTCAATGACATTATAATATTTAGCTTTAGATTTGGTACTCTTTCTTAACTGAGTATACTCCCCCAAACTATACTTCAGCTGCCAGAAGATGAACAAGGCCCCTCGAGATTATTAGTTTGTTCTTCCGTTCCGAAGTGATTTGAATTTTTATTTCTAGAATGAATTTAATTAAAAGTGAAAATTGAAACATGACAATTATTTTGAAGTAGAGAAAATATAGCATTTCAAACTATTGAAGGAACTAGCGATACCAGTGTATAATTAACTAATTATCAGTATTATTATTTGATAGTTTCATGTAATAAATTAATGGTGATCTTGATTTTTTTGGCTATCAAGTATTTGAGAAAATTTGTACATTTTGAATTATATACTATCTTCAATGTTCGAAATGATAATCGAGTTTGTATTTTCATTTGTAATGCAAATTGTACTAAAAATAAAAAATCTAGACTAAGCAATAATTTTGAGACATAGGGAAATATACAGTATAAACTCTGTAAATTAATAGTGTAAGACCGATAAAAATTTGTTACTCCCTCCGTCCCATAACTATTGTCCACTTTACAAAAAAAATTTGTCCCAAAATTATTGTCCAATTTGACTTTTTATGAAAGAAGTTACACATTTACCCTTAGTAAAAAAACATCATTTCAATAGAATCGGAGCTTTCAACCGTGCATCAGAACTCCTTCATAAGTTACCCGGAGGAACTGTGCACCGGAGCTAACAAAACCTAATCTCATTTTTCAATTGTAAATGAATGTTCAGAATCGAAAAATGATATACTCAATTGAGGGAAAGGAATCAATAAGAGAATCAATTAGAAGTAAGGTTACTTTTGAGTTTTAATAGCCAAGGGTCTTGTTTCAATTGTTGCTTTTGGAAAGAGAATCAATAACAACTTCTCGATGTTGAAAGCCGCCGAGAATGATTCCGCCACCAGCCACTGATCTGTCAATCAAATAGTGATACCGGTGTAGATCAATTAAAACTCCTTCGATTGAAAGCCACCAAGAATATTTGACTCCGCCGCCCGCCACCAATTTTTCAACCGATGTGCTGGGGTAGATTCACGACATGGATGTCATTGGATGGTCCAAGGACATGTCTTGATGTACGGAGCTGTTTACTTCAACGGATTTGTGCTTTCCTTTACAATAGTAGCTTCAGACGCCGCCGGGCTCAATCTCGGTGAAACACCAACTTCGTGGTGGTGGTGGTTAACTTATGTAGGGGTATATCTGGTTTTTTAAGCTAAAATATATTTAAGTTTGACAAAAAATAAAATCTTACATTCTAGTCAAACTGGACAATAATTATGGAATGGAGGAAGTATTTTATGGAGGTTATAATTTATTGATAAATTATTAATTATTAATTTATCAAAATATCATATTTTATTAATTTAAAGGTTTTTTTTTTTCAATTCTATTAGGAAACAAATACTCAATTTCAATCCCGCTTCCTCATGTATTATGATCATATCATTTTTATTTACTGCTCGTAGGGATAACCAAATATAAAATTTTCTTAAATGTAAATTTCAAGAAAAAATAAAACTCAATAGCCATTACTTCCTTAAACCTTCTTATTTTTCTTTATTATTTTAGATCATTATTAATTAATGATTTTTAGGGGACCTTTATTTGTATAGAAATTTTCTGAAAATTTATTATCTTATTAATTTATCAATTTTATTTTATTTTTGCAATCAAGACAAGTAAATTAAGCGATCTACACAGAAATGGTACGACATCAGTATATTGTTCTCCTCAAATTGTTACAAATAAAAGAAAATGTTAAGAAGCACTAAACAAACAAACAAAAAAAGAAGTTCTATGGGAACCCAAAAAAAAAAAAAAAAGCCGTTTGAGAAATAGAAGTTAGAACAGCAAATGAACAAACTAATAGAGAGACCTTGGGCTCATTCATCGGCTTGACATAAATCTGTATGGCCTTCATAGGTTTTAGATGCTAATGATTCGTAAATCTATTGTTCTTGGGCTAGATATGTGGGTTTCAAGCCATTATGTAGCTACTGCCTTGTGAATTTTAAGCTTTCTTTTACCTCTTCGGTTCACAAAAAAGAAAAGAAAAAAAATAATTATTTTTTCCGCATATAGCACAATAATGATATCCATTATATATGGACGATAGTGATAGTTACTTTTAATTAATTACCTGGCTTTAACACGAGTTACTAGTTTTTCATCCATCAAATATGGTAATGAAAATGTCATGTTCCCGTTCTACCATACATAGACTTCCATAGCAAAATGATGCAACAGTTGAAATGATTAAACATGTATGAAAGCATCACCTCAATCAATTAGACATTGTTTAGCCTTTAGGCAAGGAGAGCAGAAAAGAAAGAAGCCTAAGACGTGACCAAGGGTAGGACAATGACCATTATAATTAGAGCGCGAAAACGCACGTTGATGGTGAGATGAATTAGGTGTTATCAACCGGATCCGGTTGGTCCGTGACTTGAGTCGTTCCCACTGGCTCATAACCCTCCGACCAACAGTGAGTTGTTCTTCTTTCCTCGTAAACTTATAACTCCTCAGATACTTCTGTCTCCCGACGTTCGCTTCGTCGTGTCGTACCCTTTCAGGCGTTGCGGAGGCCGACCAAGGAGTAGTACTACTACTACTGCCAGAGCCGTCGACCAAGGAAGAATCTCTGTTCTGGCATAGCATCCGCAGGAATTCTCTATCAGATTCTGCCCACTGAAGTAGCTTATCCGCCTTCGGCGTCGCGCTGGCCCTGATCACCGGCGATTCGGCATCTACGCATCCACCAGCGGTACAACCTGAGCTGATCATCATGATTTGAGAAGTCCCTCCGCTGGGGACTAGTTTCAGTTTCTTTATTAGAACAAAGTGGTTGTTTTGCATAAGGCTCACCTTAGTTTTATATACTACAACTTGAGTTTGTGGAATGTAGTGTGTCAACCATGAAAGTGTGGATTCCTGTGCTGATTAGTGGACCAACAATCACAAAAAAAAGTTGAACAGAATCACATTCGGATCCAAGTCTACTATTTGGGTCTCATTTCCTTGTTTATTTTTTAATGGGATTTAATTCTAGGACAACCATTGTTTTCTCTAATATTCTCATTGTAATTATATACTATTGTTAATTGATAGATGCTTGCGACGTCCAATATAGTTCGTGTTTTTAAATAGACATTATCTGTGACTATTAGAAATGAGACGAATGAGAGAATTTTTATTTTTTTTTACTAAATGAATAGGAAAAAGAAAGAATAGTTGATTGTGAAATTAACATTTTTCTGGCTTATTGAAAAGCTTTTTGCCTCCTTCTTTGTTAAAAAAAAAAAAAAGAAGAAAAGCTTTTAATGATGTGATGCTCCAAGGCTAACCATCCATATATATTCGGCATGAAGAAGATAAAAAGGGTGAATTTCCACGGAACAACCCACTTAGAAAGGTGCCTCTTTTAGGGCTGCCGGCCGGCCGATTGACCTTAGCGCACTTTGTGTGGTGCGTCAATTCTGTCAATTTGAGATGGGCTAAAAATCATCTATCTTTAGCCATTTCTTTTTTATGGAAAACAAAAAATTAGTTACCACAGAATTTGAGTCATTAGTCTCTATACATATACTGTATGGTACAATGACAAAATTTTTTATTTTTTTTTAACCACCCACAATTTTCTTAAGTATTTGCATAAGAGCTACATAAATAACTAAAATCACATTTAGCCATACTGCACTAAATAGAATAGGAAATTAAATTAAATCTCCGAAAAATGAGGGCAGTAAAATGCTTCCTTCTTCTAAGAGAAACCACTGTTGAAAACTATTAATTTGTAGTTTGCACTTACGGGACTCCATTTTGTTCCTCTACACTCAGTCCAGTAAAAGTGAGATAGCGATCCAAGCTTTTTTTTTTTTTTTTTGCTTATAGATTGAACCCTCCTAATTTATTCCAAGAGAAAAAGGAACCCTCCTGATTTGGTATAAATTAAAAGTGAAAAGTGCCGTCCCGAAAGGTGCCGTTATCAGTTTGAGAATCTTTTTCCAATGCCAATTTACATCTCTTTTGACAGTTGCTTCTCATACCATTACATTGATCGCTTTATATTTTATGACACCGGATTTTAGAAAATCATAACGCACGACGGCATACAATATTTTTAGACACAGACAAGACGAAGAAATGGTTAACGTTGCTAAATTTACCCTAAAAATGGCAATGTTATCCCTAAAGTTCGTAAGAGCTTGTAAGATGGCTGGTTATGAAAGAAACTTAAGAGAGAGAGGGGAAACTAATAAGCTGATTTTTTAGTGTACAGTTCGCCATGAATATTTCACTTTCCAAATTGCACATGACAAAGACAAAATTAGGAGCAGGAGGAGACAATTTTCCAAATAATATACTCTCTTCCGTCCTTATTATAATAAATTTTAATTTATTCTAAGTTTTACCTAACATATATTTTTTCATGGAGAAAAATTTTCTTAAACATATTTCTCAATTGAAAAAACACATTACTTGAAATTTAAGACAAATTAAAGTTTTTTATAATAAGAACCGGAGAGCGGTTTCTTTTTTTTTTTTTTTTTGTGTGTGTGTTACGCACACAAATATCTGAAGTAATTACTCCAACTAATCCAAATTTAAACATGGTCCAAATACTATTTCTGAATTACTTATCCTTCATATTTCCTTCAGTTAAAAAAATGAAAATCTTTATTTATTAAGTAATTTTAGTTCAGAAACAAAACTTTATAGTGAGGCAAAAACATTATTTTTGGTTCAATGAACTCAAGCCATGAAGTTTTAAAGCATTATTAAATATATGCTTCTCCGACTATATAAAATGACAATATAATAATCATATTTATTGATAAAAAAATATAGAGTATTTTAAGATAAAAAAAATACTCCATTCGGTGCTTAATATAAGACATTTTGATTTGTCTTAGGTTTAACTTAGTACACATTTTTAATTGACAAAAAAGACTTTAAAAATATATTTTCACATTTGTTGCATTCTCTTGATTGTTATGAAATATTTTTAAGATTTTTTTGTTAATTAAAAATACGTATTAGGTTAAATCTAAGACAAATCAAAATGTCTTATACTAAAGACCGGAGGAGTATTTTTCTTTTACATCAAAGAAATTATGGAAATTTTGTAGTTCAGTGACAGTAGTATAACGTATCAGCTCATAAACTAGAAATTAAGCAAGATCGGATTTTCAAAGCCGCCCAAATAGATCGAACAGGATGGAACCTGAATAGAAAAGAGAAGAAGAAGAGTGGGCTCCTCATTGACTAATGACTCGAAATATAATTTTGTTTCCTTTTCATTTGCCGTCATTCCATTATTTCCATGTCATATAACTTGTAATGAACCTAACAGCAATTTTCAAAAAAATAAATAAATAAATAAATAAAAACCTAACACCACAAATTAAGGAAGTGGATGTTACAAGCTTACTGTATATAGTAAAGTGGATATCACTATTTACAACCTAACCCCTAGTATAGGTAGAAAAGTTACCCATCGAAACTTGATTAATGTGACTATATGTATTTTCACTTTCAACTCATATCACAACAAACGGGATCATAATGGAGAGATCCAACAAGGTACTGTGCATACTTACAAGCGAGTAAAATAAAAGTATATAATACATTATCACTATTACATAAATTAAAAATGAGAGATATTGAGGATATCTTCGTAATTAATTATCTGTGTAATGTAAATCTATATTCCATTTCAAAATAAAAGTCACTTTAAACTCTACGTGTAAATTAAGGAGATAATCATTTAATAATTAATTTTTGTGTTAAATATTCATTTTACTTATCATTAATTGAGATAATCATTTAATAATTAATTTTTATGTTAAATATTCATTTTACCCATCATTAATTATTTTGAAACTATAACAAAGACTAAATGAAAAGTAATTAACATCATTTATTGGGGACAAAATTGAGAAATCAATCTTTAATTTGCCTTGAAATCCAAAAACGATCTACATTATGAAAATCTCTCTAAACCTAAAACGATCTACATCTTAAAATGGAGGAAGTATATAATCTATAATCATTATATGTGAGGATGTAAAATTTGGAAAGGAAGAAAAGAAATTAAGACCTTAAAAAAATAGTGGGGGTACAAAATTACAAATAGCAAAAAAGAGAAAGAAATATTAAAAGAAAAAATTAAAAATTTTCCGGGAGCCCACAGAGCAATAAAAACAGCAGCCACAAATGGGGGGTGAACTCCAAATCCACATGTCACCATATTACAGCGTCAAAGAAGTACTTCATACTCTGCCACCACCGCATAGAAATTTGTTCCAAATTCCATATCTCGATTTTGGATTCACCTAAATCTCAGCAGGAGACGAAGAAGATGGCGAGAAGAGAAGAGAATGATGATGGCTGGCGCAGAAAAAGAAAAAAGAATAAATGTACTACTAGCACCAAAAAAAATAAAATAAAATAAATACCAGATTAAAATAACCCCAAAAAACCCCACTGTAATCCATGATTCAACAACCATTTGCCTTTTTTTTTTCACAGTGATGATCCCATTTTCCAGATGATGACGCTTTTGTCAAACGTGAAAGGTTTAACGGCTTATGGGTTTTTTGACATATAGTGATGAGATGAGACTAACAGTAGAAAGGGGCAAAAAAAAAAAAAAAGGAAATGGGGGCAGCAAAAGGTCCCCACGTGCTAATGTAAAGCCACAAAGTTTTTGTTTTCCAATTGAAATTCTCCATCCCTCAGTTGTTTTTTTCTCTGGTTTTTTTGGTACCCCTTTTGTCTGCAAAGTTTCAATCTTCAAGGAACGTATAATTTGTGCATCATATTGTATATATAAAGTTTTTCCCTTTTTGCTCATGTTTGCGTAGAATTCAAGTGCCCACCTTTTTTTTTCTTCTTTTTAAAGTTTCCTTTTTTTCTAGTTTCTACAGCTTCTTCCTCCCCCACCCATTTTTTCCCCCCTTCCTTCCTTTCATCCTGGAATGTTCTTGGGGTGACTCTGTTCCAGGGAAAAGTGGGTTCAGCTTTTTTTTGATTTTTTTTGGTGTGGATTGAATTTTAAGGATCATTTGAGTGAAGTGGGCAGATGATGATGATGATGGAATGGAATATATCTTTTATGTCATCTCTACTTTTAGTTGTCTGTGGTGGTGATTATGCGTACAATTGAGTTCTGTTTTTTTGTCCGATCTCGGCCTCATCAGATTCCGAGGAAAATTCTGCAGATTCTGCTGCAACTGTTTGAGGTTGGTGTCCGCGACCATGATGATCTTTTTCATTCTTTTTTTTTTTTTACTTGTGGTCAATTTCCTTCTTTCTTCTTGGACTATGTTTGAATTTATCACTCTGACAATTCAGAGGAACCCAACCAATGATTGAAGACTCAATTTTTGTATTCGGTGTTGACCATGGTTCAGTTTCATCATCTCTTTCCTTTCTTTCTCCATGCTGAATTCTATAGATAATGTTTTCCTACAAACAAGATTACTAGCATCAAAGAGTTGTTTCATTTAATTTCATTTCATGGTTTGATCTCTTTGCCATGAATGAATTGTTGGGGCATTTATCTGAGTTTCACTTCTGATCCAACTACTTTCTGCCATTACTCAGTCAATTCTATTGAATTTTATCTGATCATCTACCGACTGTTTAAATGGGAACTTATCCGAGTAACATACTATTCTATTCGTCTTTCCTGGTGATTGACTACCAGTGATTAAATTGCATTTTCCCTATTTTTTTTATTTCTCATTTTATTTTTTTATATAATTATGGACCTATCATTGCTTGCAGTTGGTAGCTCATTCTGTCTCAGTCCACCACTATTTTTCTCATTGGAATGAATAATTTAGTCTGCAGGATATAATTGCAGGCCTGCCAGAACAAATTAGTCTGGTAGATATAATTGCAGACCTGCCAGCTGCATTATCATGGGGTGGTTAAACAAGATATTTAAAGGTTCCAGCCATAGAAGATGGGAGGGGCAATATCATGGAAAATATGAGGATGATACAGTTTGGGAAAGACCTTCTGTGTCAGCGGTAATTTTTGCTTTCGATGATAAAGCCTACATTTTCATTTGTTTTTCAGTTTTTGTCGTATGGTACCATCAGCAGTTGGCACACTGCGTTTATTTTTTGTTATTTAGCTTAGCTAGAGATGGATCATGGCTTTCTGTGAGGTTTCCCACTCACTTGACGCTTGCAACTCGAATGTAGGATGTGTTGTCAGATTTTGATACTGAAGAAATTGATAGGGCAATAGCACTTTCTCTTGCAGAAGAGGAAGAGAGGGCTATTGCTAAAGAAGATCAAAAGTCTATTTCTGAAGATGATGATGATAAATCTGTTTCAGAAGAAGATCAGAAATCTATCGCAGGAGAAGATAAGTCATCTATAGCAGGGGATGATAAGACATCAATAGCTGATGAAGATCATCAAGAAGTGGTCGAAGAAATAGATGTGAAAGGAAAAAGAGTGGTTGGTAAGTAACTTGGTTATTTGAATCTCATAGCCTGATGACAATGGAAATCACATATACTAGTTTTGTGCTATTCTAGAGAGACATTGAGATAAACAACTAGAAGCTTACCATAATGTCATTTACAACATTTATTTTGTATATAGCGAACAAAAACAGTTTCATAATGTCATTTATCTCCTGGATTTTTTTTTCATAATATCAGAGGACGACTCTTCTTACTTGGAAGATGATGAGCAACTAGCGAAGGCTCTTCAAGAAAGTTTGAATGTGGGATCTCCACCTTCTCCACCCCGATATGATTATGGAAGTTTCTTTCCACCCTATCAGTTCTTCTATCCATCAACATACAGGTAACTAGCTTATCGTGTATGTGCTTATCATGTGTGCATGTCTTTTTTCGTCTCCAATTTTGTGTGTGCTTTTATAATTATTTCAAATTTTGTGTGTGTGTTAATTATTCCTAATAGCCAATCTCATTGAAACAGAAAATGAAATGCCTCTTCTTTTGTCAAAATCTAAACTTTGCCAATTCTTGGGGACATTTATAATTGATATATGCAATTTATACAGGATCTGTGCTGGTTGCAAGGCTGAAATTGGTCATGGGCGATTCTTGAGTTGCATGGGAGCTACTTGGCATCCTGAGTGCTTTGTGTGCTATGGTTGTAGACAGCCAATTTCTGATTATGAGGTCAGATTCTTACTAGAACTACTAAGAAGCCTCCGGATCTTGTTTCTAAAACATCCTCTTCATCTTGACAAGAATTCTTCAGTGGATAATTCTATCAGTGATTACAGTAAGGTAATCAAACTAACCGTTTCTCTTTCTTATCTTTTCCAGTTCTCAATGTCTGATAACCGGCCATACCACAAATCCTGTTATAAGGAACTCCACCACCCTAAATGTGATGTCTGCAAAAATTTCGTAAGTCTATGATTTAATGCTTGATTTAGATCATCATTTGTATGCAACTTGCAACTTTTTTTTTTTTCCCCCCTTCTAATATGCTGTTCCTCAAGTTATCTTCTCTGTATCTCCTTGCAAGTCCGATTTGGTTTCTTGACCTGAATAGTCGTGAAATTCTGAATGATCTTAGTGGAAAGAAAATGAAGTAATAATACCTCAGTTGTGGTCCTATACTTTATTTCCTACACATAGATTTGTTCTAACCCTGTATTCTCCTTTATACATCATCCATGTAGATCCCTACAAACTCAGCTGGTCTAATTGAGTATCGGGCACATCCTTTCTGGAAACAGAAATACTGTCCATCACACGAGCATGATGGAACTCCACGCTGTTGCAGCTGTGAGAGAATGGAGGTGTGTTAAGAAACTATAAACTATCTGAATGAAAAGGTTACATTATCAAGCGTGAACAGAAGAATTTGAAAATTCCTTTAGGAAAGAATTAAGAAGAGCGTGACAATCATGAACTGTATCAACCTGTATTTAACAAGCCGTGGTTTCGTTTATTCACAAGTTTGCTAATTTTAGCTTTTAAATCCATGCAGCCTGTGGATGCCAGATACTTGATCCTTGGTGATGGTCGAAAGCTGTGTCTTGAGTGTTTGGATTCTGCAATCATGGACACTGGTGAATGCCAACCTCTTTACATTGAAATACAAGATTTCTATGAAGGTCTACAGATGAAAGTGGAGCAGCAAATTCCCATGCTTTTGGTTGAGCGACAAGCACTAAATGAAGCTATGGAAGGAGAAAAACAAGTGAGTACTACTAGAAATTCAGAATATATAATGCCTTTTTCAAAGATAAAATTATGAAAACATTTTTAGCTTTATAGGTTTTTTTTTTTTTTTTTTTTCCAGCAACAAGCTCTGGTAATAACTTCTTTTATGTCTTCTCTGTATTCAGGGGCATCACCATCTGCCAGAGACAAGAGGACTTTGCCTATCAGAAGAACAAACCATTAGCACTGTAGGAATCTTTCCTTTGTCTTTTACCATCCAAATTTTAATGAAATTAGACTAGACAGTTTCATCTGCTGCATTCAGTTTGATTTTATGCTTTCTCAACCAAATACCAGATTTTAAGGCGGCCTAGGATTGGTGGTGATCGAATAATAGACATGTTCACCAGGCCATATAAACTAGTTCGCCGATGTGAGGTGACTGCAATCCTCATATTATATGGTCTCCCCAGGTAAAAATGGTTTGACCTGTCTCTTAGCATTTACCTGTATTAAACAATTTCATGTGCTGACTGGATCCATCTTAGCTCATGAGATGATGCTTTCCCTGTATTAAACAATTTCATGTGCTGCATAGGTTGCTGACTGGATCCATCTTAGCTCATGAGATGATGCATGCATGGTTAAGACTTAAAGGTGCTCATTCTTTTCCACTACAAGCATATGTTTCTTCAAATTCCTCTTTGTCTGAAAATCTCCATGACTCAAACTTTTCGTTTTCCTCCACCTTTGCTGTCAGGTTACTCTCATTTGAGCCCAGAGGTTGAAGAAGGGATTTGCCAGGTTTTAGCTTATATGTGGCTTGATTCTGAAATCATTGCTGGCTCTGGGAGTAGTAATGTTGCTTCTACTTCTTCTTCATCATCTACCTCTCCATCCTCATCTTCATCATCGTCATCATCATCATCTTCCGGCTCTTCAAAAAAAGGAAACCGATCTCAGTTTGAGAAGAAACTCGGAGAGTTTTTCATGCATCAGATAGAATCAGATACCTCTTCAGCTTATGGTGATGGATTTAGAGAAGGTAACAAGGCAGTTCTTAAGTATGGACTGAAGAGAACCCTTGATCACATCCGGCTTACAGGATGCTTTCCATAGAACAATCGCCTGTCTGGTCATTTTGATCTCCTCCTACACGAATCATATACTACTTTTAAATAGACTTCCTATACTGGTTTCCATGGCGTTGGAGCTCTCCAACAACAAAGATTTGCTCGCATATACGAGCTGCGCCAAGCGCATACAGAGAATAAATGAGCACACAGATAATGAATGTAAATACAATTGGCTTTCTTTTTATGTAAACGAATTTTGATAAGGTGAATGAAAAACCTCCTGAACAGAAGATCTGATGCCCATAACTGCTTTTGTATGCATATTTGTCAGTTAAAGAAGTACAAGGTTATCTGTTGATCTAGAATGTGGCCATATCGAACTCTGAGCTGCTGTATAAACCAGCAGCATTGAACAAAACTACTGCAACAATGTAGATACAACTTCCAACGTTTTCCATGAAAAAGGACTGCAATGAGTGGACTCCAGCATTAAAGTCATGTTTGGACAATTAGGTAGGCCTGCCCTTTCCTGCTTGGAGTTGGGTTCCGTGGCTCCGGCGAAGGCCGGTGGCCTCCGTTTCCCTTAGAGCGGAGGGGATTGCGTGCGGCTGGTTTCACAGACCCGCTCCCTGCACTCTCCAAGGATAACACGCCTCAATCGCACCTTCACTTTGGCAATTTCTTACAACAAGGAAACAAAGGTGTCCTTTAAGGGCTGAAGTCTTCGAAACCACTGAAATTTCCAATCCAAACCCAAAGGAAGAAGGCTCTGTAATTTTCCACAACATTCAATCCCTGGATATCTCTGTAATTTACCATGTTTTGATTCAGTCAATGTAAGTAGAGTTTACATCATAATCAGGAGATCCCGGGTTCCAAACCGAGGTTAGAGGTTGATGAGCACTGTGCATAGCTCCAGCGTTCCATTTTTCTATTCAAAAAGATATGGTATCATTTCATTTGATGGAAATGAATCAGTACATAATCAAATCCCTTGTTTACTGAACACAGAATTGAAAGAAAAAAAAAAAAGATTTATCAAGAACGAGAGGATCCGAATGTGGGAGGAAATCTTGTACTGATTGTAAGTTGGAAACTGTGAAGTTTTTTCTGCCAAAGAAATATTATTATGTCAGTTGTTTGTCCCACATCGCTGGGGGGATGGGTTAAGACGCAATTTATAAGCCTTGGAGTTGGCGTTTACAATCGCCGAGCTGGGTAACGCTAGCTTATAACCCGAGTGGGGGCAACAAAGTGATGGGACATTGGGCTATCTCTTAAGGTAGGTCCTGATGGAGCTGTCTCTGGCCTGCCCGTTCCAAGCGGAGAGTTGGGCTGCGGGGTTTGGGCGAAGGCCTGGTCCTCGTTGTCCCTAAAGTGGAGGGCACCGCGTTAGGCTGGCTTCACAGAGCAGCGAAAACTTCACGCTCCCTGCGGTGGAAGGATAACAGGCCGGTGCTTCTCAGGCCCATTAATACCCAATGAGTTGCCTCAATTGGACCATCACTTTTTGTATTTTTTTCCCCCTCCCAACTATGGCTCAATGTGAATGAATTAAAGTAAAATTCGAAGCTCAAAGATTAAATATGGTTTTACCTATGAAGAGTCCTAAAAATATTCATTTTCGGGGAAAACATTCCTCCGCTAACTAAAATTCATTGTATCATTTTATTTTCACAATTTTTGTTCTAGTATTATGGTTTAGTTATTAATAAACATCCTTTCTGCCCCTGAAATGTTGATAACATATTCACCGAAGCTATAAAATATTACTTCTCATTTAAATACAATATAAATTTAGAGGAGTTATGATTTTTCACTCTACTAATTTATCTCTACTAATAACTCTACTTACATGGTAATCTAATTGGTTTATCCACATCATCATACAAAATTTATAGTAATATTTAATTAGAAAATAGAAACCAGTTTTTATCATTTATGTTTTTTTCCCCTTACCTTCTCGTTCTTCCCGGCGACGGCCAACTCCTGTTTTTTTCCACTAAAAGGCCAATCTACTTGTAGTTCTAAAGGGCCAATCTTTATGCTGGTTACTGGTCTCTGTGGCGCCGCACCAATTGTTTGAGGTTCCAGGAAACTCGAAAGATCTACCAAGTTTTGGCTAATTTCATGGTTCTGCAAAATTAGGTCATTCTTTTTCTTGGTTTGATTTTTTAGTGTCAAAGAAGGGTTCGTGTTCTCCAGTTTCAGTGTTCTTCAGATTGTTTGGCAGATAAAGAAATAATTTTGAAGCATGAATTTAATCCCCAATAGTGAAGTGCCAATAAAAAATAATCGAGCTAGTGAAGAAATTGCGTATTCGACGACACAATCAAACGGCCAATCAATAAGTTATAGCATCAAGGTTAGCCCTAGGGAATTAAGCTTCCGTCCGTGATAGGAAGAACGAGAAGGCAAAGATGGAAAGAGAGGATTTGATCCAGTGTTACGTTTGCAAAGTAATAAAAAGAAAACGGAAAAGAAAAAAACATCATATAAAGATGATAAATACTGGTTTTTTTTTTCTAATTAAATATTATTATTAATTTGTATAGTGATTTGAATAAGTCAACTAGATTGTCGTGTAAGTAGAGTTATTAGTAGAGTGGAATATTATTACTCAATTTAGAGTAATGATTGCTGTATGAAAAATATAAAGGGAATGAATCACAACCGCATTGTTAAAACTTATATTTACGGGTTTATACATTTAAGAGTTAATTAAGATTCAACATCATAATTCACCATTAAAATCCTCTGTAAGCTCCATCAATTGGCTCATTTCTCCCACCAATCAAATCCAAAAGGCTGCGTTTCAGGTGATGATTGGCCTTAAAAGCTGAATTTTGTTTCCTACCGTCTCCGATGGATACTGTGCGGAATACTTATTTTGCTGCCTAATTTTTTTTACTCCTTTATATATTTTCATAAGCATTCGTCTCGCGAATATATCAATCGAAGAATTATTTTAAAACGGACGGAATACAACATACATTGTATAGTGTTCGACCTTACTGGCTACGGGGAACAGATTACTGTTTCCTGTCACAATCTGATGTATAAGCCGACAGGCCATTTGGGTTTTTTTTTTTTTAAAATAAATTCTTTGAAGTAGAATCATCGTAGCGTTCAGACTGTTGGGCCTGATGTTAATCTCAGCAGAAAAAGATGTCAGGCGGAGGAATAATTCCATCAGAGCTGAACAGCTCAGTCACAGAATCATTGAGCGAATGCTGCCAACATTCCAACAAGCCAACCCTGTTTTCCAACAAATTAATATTATATTTTGCTATTTCAATTTCTTCGATAATTTCTCATTCATGACACGGTTATATATTCAGCATTTTCTGAACTCCTTAGTAGTATAATTTTGATCCTTTCTGACTTTTTCCAGTTCTTTTTTTTTTTTTTTGTATGTCATGTTATGCATATAATAATGCTTGGATATTTTGGAGGAAGGAAGAGTTCTTGCCGTCTTCACTTGGGCTTCTGTAGTTATTTAATTCAGGGATTTTTCTGCGATCTGCGGTGGGAACTAAGAAATGCCTTGTTAATTGATCTTATAACCCACTGGAAGGAAGTGAATTATAAATTATTGAAGCCTATATAGGAGAAAAATGAAAAGGACATAATGATTATTCAAGTTCTTGAAGAGGACTTTGTCAAAAGTTTTGTACTTTTTATTAGGCATTCCTGTATAGTACTGTTTAATCAGTCTACTCTACTATGTCCAAAATCTATATCTAGGAGCATGCTAGATTACTAACACATAGAACAAACACAAGAAGAATCCAAGGCGCAATTTAATGTCGAATTCCTTTGTTTCCTTGTGGATTCTTTTTTGTTGAGAGAAAAGGGATGTTTCATCTTTTGTTTTGGTCTTTTCTGATTTTCATGACAACAGCATACCTATGACTTAGCGTTGCGATTCCTCCAAAGCTATCAGAAAATGGCAGTCCCTATGCTCTCTCTCATCTTGCACCTAATGCTATTGTTTTCAGCGTCCTTTGTTTCATCTCAGCAGATTAATGGTACAGCCGATACAGATTTCTCGTGTTCTCGAAACTCAACTGCAACATGTGAAACCTATGTCACGTACCGTGTTCAGTCTCCTAATTATCTCGATTTGGGGTCTATTTCTCGTCTATTCGGGATAAGCCGATTTGCTATTGCAAATGCAAATCAGCTGGTGGCAGAGGATGGTCATCTTGTGCCTAATCAGCTACTTCTGATACCAATCCAGTGTAGTTGCAATGGATCATATTACTTCTCTAACAATGTAACCTACAACATCAAGGCCGGCGACAGCTTATATTCGGTTTCAATCCATGCTTTCCAGAACCTGACCAAGTATCAGTTTGCTGAAGACATGAATCCATCTTTGAATCCGCTTAATTTGACAGTTGGAGAAGAAGTGGTGTATCCTATGCTCTGTAAGTGCCCTTCTAAGTCAGGTATAATTAACAGCGGAAATTTTCCATACCTTCTTACTTATGTATGGCAGCCAGGGGATGATCTGTTGCCTGTGAGTGCCATGTTTAATACATCTCCACAAGCTATAGCTGAAGCAAATAATTTCAGGAATTTCACTTCTGCAATTTGTCTTCCTGTGCTAATCCCAGTTCAGCAGCCAATCATTAGGCAAACCCTATCCCCTCCGGCTTTGACCAGAAAATCGAAAAGTAATAAGCGGTCGCTTATTGCTGGTTTAATTGCTGCGCTCTCTCTTTTACTTCTTATTTTGGCTGTCCTGTCATACATGCATGGATCAAAGAAGAAAAAGAAAGAATTAGCGCGCCGTGCCTCTTCAGTTGAAGCGGCGCTTATGAACAGCGAGTCCAAGTCCATCCAGGATAAGGTCATTCCAGGAGTCTCAGGATATCTTGGCAAGTTGAATGTTTATGACACAAAAGTGATTATGGAAGCAACTTTAGATCTTGATGAACAATACAATATTGGAGGATCTGTGTACAGGGCGAAGATAAAGGATCAGATAGTTGCTGTTAAAAAGACTAAAGATGGTACAGAGGAATTGGCTTTATTGCAGAAAGTAAACCATGGAAATCTAATGAAGTTAGTGGGCATATCCTTTGAGAATGGGAGGACAATCTTCCTTGTGTTTGAATATGCAGAAAATGGTTCACTGGATAAGTGGCTGTTTCATGATTCACCATCTTGTTCTGGCTCATTTGCTTACCTTACATGGAGCCAGAGATTAAACATCGCTTCAGATGTCGCGAACGGCCTGCAATACCTGCACGAACACACTCAACCAAGCATTGTTCATCGGGATATCAGGTCTAGCAACATACTCCTTGATTCAAGGTTCAAAGCCAAGATATCGAATTTCGCATTGGCGAAACCTGCTACATGTTCATCTGTTCTAAAAGTTGATGTGTTTGCTTTCGGAGTTGTTCTCTTGGAGTTGCTCTCGGGTAGAAAATCAATGGAAACAAAAGATAGTGGCGAAATAGTGATGCCATGGAGAGATATAAGAGGAGTTTTGGAAGATGACGAGAAGAAAGAAGAGAGGCTAAGGAATTGGATGGATCCACTTTTAGGGAGTTCATATCCCTTAGAAGGAGCTTTGAGCTTGGTAAACTTAGCCAGAGCTTGCACATCGGAGAAATCTTCAGAGCGACCGACAATGGCTGAAATCGTGTTCAGCCTCTGCCTTCTTAATGATACATATTCTGATATGCATGAAGGATCTTGGGCTTCCGGAGAACCTGAAGAAGCTATTCACTTTGCTACTCCGGTAAAAGCTCGTTGATGTTTACTTATAGGCAGACAAGTGTTTATACATCATGTAATTAGTAGGAATAGTAGCCTTTTGTTGTAGTCTTGTAGATTCTAGAGCTAGAGGGAACTTGTATTTTGATGAGGCTTGCCCTTTTAATTTGATGAAGTAGAAGATCTTCCTTGAGCATGAATTGAACAATTGCAATCTTTTGGTGTAAGAAAAGATCAAAATGTCATGCAAAACTCCTACTGTGAAATTGCTATCTTTTATAAACATATATTTTATCTTGATCTGTCACTGTATAAATACTAAAACATGTACTAGCTAACAAGCAGTAAGATTATATTAGAGAAATGAATTTGAAGCCATGAGTTGGTAACTTTTCTTCTATTGAAATGATAGCTTCATGGTTATTATTTTCGACTTACATAAGGCATATTATTTGGGTAAAATTATTACTATATGAAAGTTATTGACACCATGAATAATTGAATGCTACAAACAAGTTGTGAATATACATGGATTTCAAGGCACTTTAGACCTAATGGATGTAAGATTTGGTAAATGTTGAACTATTTATTTGCTCCTTCGGTCCTTCAAGACGGATGTAATCATACATCACCCCACTCAAAATACAACCGCCCTTTGCCTGCTTGAGAAAAATTGTATTGTTTCCCAGCAAAAGCCTGTTGCCTGGTATATCAATACTGAATGCCCAATAAAAACCATGAATTCCATGTCTTGCAATTGCACTGTCGCTCCCAATAAGCCCCGTTGTAAAATCAGGAACAACGCTTGATTCGTCATTCACCCGAACCTATGATTTTGATCAACATACCATAATAACAGAAAAAAGCCACAATTTCAATTTTCAAAAGGCGAGCAAATGTAGATATTTTCAGAACCACTACTTTAAGAAATTATTACAAAAAATTCTATTCACTTTAATGTGTTTGTTTCAATTCAATAGGATGAACTATAAAGATAAGGCTGGAGGAGTAACATATTGTATGTGTTTTTTTTTTTTTTTTAAAAGAGGGGGATTCTAGAAGAAAGGTTGGGTAACATATTCCATTGTCTAGTATCCTTGCTTATCAGAGAAAATTTATACTTATAAATTTACACTGATCATGAAAAATCTATGATTGAATAATTCATTAGTATTTACCTGAACTTCGGCCATGGTAGCAGAAGCTAACGCCAATCGAAGTGTGTAGTTGGCTGAAGAAAGAACCTCATCCATATCAAATGATATTTGCCAACTTGTGGCGACATACTTATTTCTTGCAACCCTTCTACAACAATTAGAGTATTTAATATATATATATATATATAAATATATATATTAAAACAAACAAGAAGATCAAAAGTAGACTATCGTTAAATAAATTCAAAAAAGGGGAGAACAGGAAAATAGAAGAGAAAAGAACAATGACATGCATGAAGCACCTGTTGACATGAGCGAAGAACCAATCATTTTGATAATTGCTATGGCCAACTCTGTAAATTAGGTCTTGAAGAGGATATAAATCCGTGTAGCGTTCCCACAAACCATATTGTCTATATCTGTAATTCAGGCATTGTCCATCAGAAGGTTTTTTTTTTTCTTTTTTTTGCATTAGTTTCAATAGCAAAAAAATTGGATATGAAATGTTCATATATTACTAAAATATTACTCCCTCTGTCTCAAAATTATTGTCCAGTTTAAGATTTCACTTTTAATATAATTTGAACTAAAAATGAAAACACAAACTGGACAATAATTATGGGACGGAGGGAGTAGTATTTATCGGTCTCATTAAGTTTATTTGTTACACTATTTTAGAACTACAAAGTGGACTAATGAAATGGGGTGGAGAAACAAGAAAAGGAACCGATTGATCATATTCGGAACTGACTTTTCCGTGTGATTAACGTATAAAGAATTAGCCAATCCTAAAGCTGCATCAGGAACGTAAAACTCAGCCGCGGTTCTATCCGGAATGCCAATTTCCCAAATTGTTGGGCCATTTCTTGGTGGCCTAAATGAAAGGTCTCCAAGATCAGAGATATCTCCTGTTATTTAACGCAATTCATTACAAAATATAATTGTGAAAGGAGGTGGAATACAAATGATACAATTCTAAGAGCAAGATGAACCACTTTTTTTTTTTTTTTAATGTACCTGGCAGGAGGTCAATATTTAACTCGTACTTGTAATCGCCAAAGACACCGGGTACCCAAGCATACAAGTTGTAATTGCCTGCTCGAATATTTCTTATTGTGAAATTGCCTTCATTATCAACTCGAGTCCAAAATTGATATCCCTGTCACAATTAAAAATTTTACATAATGCTAGGGGTATAATTAGTTTGAATTTATTAATGTTTTTTTTCCCCTCCAATACTCATGAATGTGATTTTATAAGGAATTTAATTATTGGCGAGTTGGCTACTTATTGTTCATGTAGACTAATTTTCGTCTAAAAAAACACATTTCATGAATCTTTAGCAAACTTTTACATTGACACTTGGTTTTGATAAGAGCAAAATAATGAATGAGATAAAACATGAAAACCTTAGCATCCGATTGCCATGATCCGGGAAGTCCTGGCCGAGCTAATCCCACATATGCAGATTTGGCTGGGAAATTCTCTATTTTCAAGAACCTAATAATCCATCTCGATCCAAAAGTATAAAATAGAAAATTGAATATTAGGACAAAATTTCTTTCCGTCTCATTTCCACAATTCATTTCTATCAAAATTAAATATAATTTGACAAAGCGACTCTTTTCATGTGATCAGAAACATCAAATAATGAAAATTTGAACTTGTACCTGTCACTAACCAGAAGACGACCTCTAATCGTTGCCCTTTTATCAGCACGAGGAAAATCGGGGGACAACGGAAAGTTATAAGGCCACTTCTGGATTTCTCTTAATGCCTGGATTTACCAACTAATTTTATTATCAATTGGTTTCATTTCGTATATCATTTTGAACTGTAATTATTTAGTAAACGAATGTAATAATTATTTTGAGATAAAGAAAGTTAAGATTTCCAATCATCTAACCTGTTCTTTTGCATCCTCCCAAAGTAAGTATGGTTCAACGTTGTCTAGTTCCCTGTTCAAATAACTTAAAACTGGTCCAAAAACCTTCTTCCATGCCTCTCCTGTTTCAAATTGTAGTCCTTTTATACCGGCATAATGTTGGCTGTGAAAATCCTACGTCACATATTCACACAAAAAGAGAATCTGTGAGCAAGATTAGAAGCTAACATTCACTAATAATTCAAAACAAAAGAGTAATTCCTTTCATATGCCAAAATGAAAGTTCAATTCGAATGGGAGTAGGAGGGTTAGGTGGTGCGATTAGGCGTTTATGATGGAAGATGGTTATTACAAGTCAAGGGTTCGATTCTTGTTGGGACCGTCCACTTTTGGAAAAAAAAAAAAAAGTTCAATTTGAATTGTTTAATTTCAATTAATTTTCTTGGACAGGACGAGCATTAAGACATCTTTCAAAGATCGATAATAATTTTTTTTTAGTGAAAAAAAAAAAAAAAACCATCAAAAGTGTAACTTTTACCGCTAGACAAGTTGGGCCTGTGTGAGAAGTTAGTTCTTGTTTGAGCGGGCCTCCAGTTTTGAACTCATAACTGGGCATCATAATCCAGAATCCTTCATGCCCAGAGGAGCATACCCAGCCCGGTGCATTTTTCCTCTCTTTGGACGAAATCCAACCGTGCACTTGATTTTCCTCATTTTTCAATGAGTATTGATATTTATCATCCACCTATATATTTCAAAATTTTTTCATTAAAAAATTTATATGTTACTTATGTCCTAAAAAAATAATCCACATTTAATTTTGAGACGTATAAATTTTAATATAAATATCAAAATTCAATGTAACTTTTTTTAGGACATAGAGAATATTTCACTAGTTTATGAAAAGTTACTTGATGGTATCCACTTTGTTGAACCATTTCAGTTTAACGAGATTGATTATGATAAATGACGGATAATTAGAAGAAATATCCATAGTTGGTCGTACACAATTACCTCTCCTTTCAGAGCCGGATTGGATGGATTTGTCAACAAAACAGCTTCTTTGTATGCAAGTTGTCGACCTCGTTGGAGATCCTCTGGAGTCGGCATAAGTTTTTGTTTATCATCCGATATGGCCATGTAATTGAATCTATGTGATTTAAAGTTTATATTGTAACTTCAATACTTCATCACTACTTGACACACATCATCAATTCGAAGTTGCAAACAAATTCAATCATTTTACATTTATACTTGTTTGAAACTTGTAACATAATGTACCCCTAGTTTTTTATTTATATTTCGCATTAGGGTATGTACTTGTATTAATGAAAGAACGATCAAGACTTTAAAAAATAAGCACTTATTATTAATAAACGTTATTAAAAGTAGAGAGAGATAAGGATAATATTAAAAATACCGTATTTAATGCTACACTTGGATGTCAAGTGTGACAAATAAAGAGAAAGTGTTGGATTCGCCCTAATACTAATAGATAAAAAATAAATAAATAGAGGTAGTACAAGATAAAAATTGTTACATGTCTTAAGTAAATGCATATCATATTATTTTTCGATCAAAAAGAGAACCTGTAGCCATCTCAAGCAAAATTGTTAACATATACTCGCTCTGGTGTATATTATAAAATATTTTAATTTGTCTTAAATTTCTTTTATTATATAATTCCAATTGAAAATAAAACTTTAAAATATTTGTTAATAATAGAGAGGACACAATAAATGTGAAAACATATTTTTAAGATTTTATTTTCAATTGAAAGAACATATTAGATGAAACTTAGGATAAATCAAAATACCTTATAATAAAAAGAGGGGAGGGAGTATATTGGTTTCTACCATATCCAAAGGATGATTTGTACCAAGTAAATCATATTTCCACCAACCCCAAATGTTGAAATTGAAGTATGATCACAAGTATTGGGGCTAGAAATAGCAAGAGATCAACTCAAGGTGATTGAGTCTGTGAGAGCATTAATTTATTGTTGTATCCCACAATTTTTAATAAAATAAAATGTATCCATACATGTGGACTATGGTGTATATAGATATAAGCCAAACTATATGTTTTCAGTCATTAACAAAACAAGTGGAACATCACTTCAACATCAAAAGGTTAATTCTAGCAGGTATATGTCCGCGTTCCATTTAATTATATTATTTTCAGTTTCATAACTTTGACAATCAACCTAGAACATTGTTAAAAGTATTGAAGTATTTAGGCAGGACGTCCCACCGCGGCATGACATAGGCAATTCGATGCGCTAACTATTGAACAAGTTGAGTGGGATTGATTTAATTTAGGTATGATATTGAGAAGGCAAAAGTACATGAGACTAAGTGCTACAAATTAGCAAGCGTTTTCTCCGTATTAAAAATAAAAACATTATGATTGGTGAATATATTTTGTACTCCATCCATTCAGGAATTTGTCCAATTTGAATTTTTATTTCAAGTACAAATTATACTAATTATAAAATTTTAAATGTAACATTTAGTTTTGGACAGAGAGAGTATTAAACATGAGTTTTCTTTTAGAAGGGGAAGTACAAATGTTGTGAAGTACTTACCGAGTTTTATCAAGTTTGAAAGTGAGTCTTGTTTGGAAAATATTCAAAGCAGGCCACCCTTTCAAGCGTTCATATATCGCATAAGAGTAAAACCCTGACATCCCACGCATCAATACAAACCTACAAAATACATTGATAAAAAGTTTTACTTGACAATAAATCTTTCAAATAGTAATAATATTGATTACTCCTTCTCACAATTCGAATATGCATTTTTTTTTTTTTTAAGGATGGATGGAATTACATTCGAGTGTGAAGGAAACCTTAAAAATAAAGTTCATCAAACGAGTTGGTACTTCACCTTTTATCCACGTTTAAGGGTAGATCGGTGCCATTGTGATCAAGCGAAGGATCATATGTGCTCTTGAATGAGAGTTCAATTTGATTATCATCTTGAGCTATTACCTCGAAATCTTTTGACCTAAGCCTGTAGTATGACAAACCTAAGCTTAATTATCAGTCTTTCTTATTTGTATCTTATGGTTCTTTTCCGCCTAAATCGTCCTATATTGCATGATGAATCCTGCAAAGTGACGCTATTGGCTATAGAATGTAGTTTGAAATGTCAAATCAAATAATACGAATAAAATTAATTTACTTGAGGAAATTTTCTTCAACCTGTCCGGGTCTGCTCCATACGAGATCCCAGTACCTACAGTAACGTTTTAATCTGGTCAACGGAAAATATACACATAGTATTTCCAGTCGAGAGGAGCCTCAAACCTTATGAGGGCCGTACAGAAAAAGTAGACAAATATTTATTCTCGCGTACCCTCTTTGTGATTCTGGAACACGAGAATTCAGAACATTACGATGCCCCTTGTAATTTATTTTTGTTAGCATACCACCGGGAGTGGATATTGTAACTCTAACAAGACCATTGTCCATTACCACCTGTAAAAAAAAATAAAATTAATTACTACCTCCGTCCCAAATTATTGTCCAGTTTGAGATTTCAATTTTAGTACAATTTGAACTAAAAATGAAAACTCAAACCGGACATTAATTTTGGGACAGAGGGAGTACTACATATCTTTTCTGTCCCGAAATAATTTTGGAGGAGAAGAAATATTATGTTGCAACTGAAAATTTACTTGGAAAAGGTAATTGATTAATAGAAATTTACATGGCGGTCATGTATGAACATCCTTGGTGGAGAAGAAGTTTTCTCTAGTGAATCCATCCTAAGGAAAAGCCATCTGGAAATTTGGCCAATGGAAAGAAGAGAGTAGAATTCAGCAGAAAACAGGAATATAAGTAGCAAGAGACCCAAGGGCATGGGCCATTTTTTCTTTCGATTTGCCTTCTCCATTTCTTTTACACCACAAAATTAAGGATAACCTGGCAATCAAGCAACAAATGCTAGTTAAGTTATGCAAAATTTTGTTCCCAATGACTGCCTTTTAAGACTTAGAAATTGTTTTCTTGCTTACTGAGTAGAAAACTAATGAATAACGATAATCAACTATAACGTACCTCTTTGATGAGCTTTTTACTTATCAGTTCAGTTCATGTTCCGGCTCCTTGTAAACTGAAGTGAATAATATCTGAGTTTCAATGACGAAAATGATGATGAGACGAAGAAGAAGAAGAAGAGAAATGAATAACTCTGAAAACTTCAAAATGAGAGCACTAACTATATATAGTGATGCATGCAAATAATTTAATTGAAAAGTTCACCGTTTTTTGAAAGGACAAGTTCACCATGGTTGGAGGAACTTCCCCATTCGAACTGATTTTCTAAGATTTTGACAACTTTGAATAATCTAATAAAGACCCAGTTCAACATCTTTTTTTTCTTTTTTTTTTTTTTTACTAATAAACTCGAGGATAGGATCCACTTCCACAACGTAAGCCAAAAAAATGGTTCAAAGGTGATTTAATTACGTGTGATTAGCGTGCAATATTCCAAAGTCATTTTTGAGGTTAAATCCCAGTCTTTTTCGATTATATTTAAGGTACCTTTGAATATTGGTACTAAACTAATTAATTAAAAAGTTACAAGCTGGTTGCGAAAGAAAGGAATATATCACCTAATGTGACCGAGTGTGCGTGGGATATTGGTACACATTATCAGTTAGACTACTTTTATAGCATCAATAGAATCATTCCAAGTTTTGCAAGTTCATCCCCACGCGTTGATTTCCGAAGTCTATTGACAACAAGCCCTAGTTTTTTATGTCCAGCTACTTGCCTTTACCTTTAAATATTAAGTAAATTGACCGGAGTTTCTTTTGAAATCGTCTCTAGGCATTTCTTAATAATTTTTGATATCACTGTCTTGATTAATATAAATCAAATGAAACGAACCTCTCTTAAAAATCAAATATTGCAAATATGTTCGTATCTGGATTCGAGCTTTAAGTATAGTCTAACTGGCATAATTATTTCTGCTATGGATTAGTGTTTGTTGTGTTCCGCATGTCTTAAAATGAATGTTTAGTTTTGATTTTTAATTTTAATACAATTTGAAGAATGAAAATCTAAACTGTACAGTCATTCTGGAAAGTAGAAGTATTTTGTTTATTTTAGTTTTGGCACGGATTCAAATATTCTAGAAGAAAAACCTTTTTACAAGTCATAAACTAATGCTTTGTTCTTAATCCGTGGGTTCAATGTAGGTTTATTTGGGTGTTCTGAGCACACATTTCCAGCGGATTGTAGCAATTACTCAAATTTGGCCACGACGTTGTCGGTGGTCGATGTTGGCTACTTCACCCATCGATTAGATAGGGGTCCATACGGCCCGTAAGACCATCAACTAATAACTCAAAGGTTGACAAGTAAGCCCATCATGGATTACTATGAAGGATTTTTAAACTTTACTCATTTCCATACATCAAGTGTGGACGGGTCAGTCTGTCACCAACAGCAATTAATCTTTCTTTGTAGAACTGCGATCGATCGTGAATGGATTTGAGAAATTTTTCCGAGTAGTATTTGGAGTGTAGTCGATTTTTTTTAATATAAAGAAAATAAATAATACTGTACTCCGTACTATTCATTGCAGGTAGATTTTATAAAACTTTCGCGTCTGAGATGACTTATTATTATTATTATTATTACGACACTTACTTGTATCTAAGTTTGATTTACAAATTGGATCATTTTGATGAGTTGGACCATAGTACAACAGTAAGATTGATATGACAATTTGAGAAGTATGGATAAACCGTTTAGGATGCTGTCTACCTCTCAATTCTCATCCAATTCCAATGCTACAGATAGATGACCTTGGATGGAGGAGGACCAAGATAAACCCATTTGGTCCCCTGCAATTTACTTTCAGCACTTCAAATTTCTTACAGAAAGAAAATGGATTAGAATGGTTCACGGTTACATGATTTTGGCAGCAGAAAAATGAATACAAATGATTAGGTCGCGAAAAGAAGTCTACAGCATTGGAAGAAAACTATATATGCTCAAAATAGTGTCATCATCATCGCCTTAATTTTTTGATGAGCAAGAAGGTAAAATCAGTAGCCGGTATATCGATCGATAACCCTGAAATTAGCTGTGGGGAAGTATTTGCTTATTTGTGTATGCTCAAACACAGAGTTACATGATTGAAATATATACTCCCTCTGTCCCAAAATTATTGTCCTGTTTGAGATCTCACTTTTAGTACAATTTGAACTAGAAATGAAAATTCAAACTGGACAATAATTATGGGACGGAGTGAGTACATTACTACTCAAAGAGAACCAAGTTTGCATGTTTTATTCCCTTTCTTTTTGTCAAGATATGAACTTGTAAACTAGTATCTTAAATCTAATATCCCTAATTCCGTATAACTGGATCGCTTATTACATAGAAAAAGAACAATCAGTTTTCACATCTAACTGAACCTTCATTAGACTGGAAATCACTGCAGCCATGGTTGGTCTATTTGTCGGATCAGTTGCCAAACATGCTGCACTAACTTCAAGCAACCGCAAAGCGAGTCTTGAGTTATCAATGATGAAACCAAGTGGGTGTTTTTCTTGCAATTTTGGATCAATGAATCTTCCAATAGCAGCTGTAGCATTTGCAGCAGACATCACTTTAATGGCTGCTTCTGAAAGCCAGACTTCGCGACCATCTTCCTTAAAAACGGCTTCTTTTCCAGTGATCAATTCTAAGAGAACAACCCCAAAAGCATATACATCCATTTTAGGACTAACTCTGCCAGTTTCCAAATACTCTGGTGCCATGTATCCTTTTGTTCCCATTACTTTTGAACACGAATCTGAAAAGGACGTTGAATTACCATTTCCCCTGCTTTTGGATGGTTTTGCAAAGCTAGAATTGGCAATTTTGGCTCTCAGGTCAGAGCTGACCAAGACATTGCTGCTGTTTATGTCCTTATGAACATATCCTGGAGCAGTGAAATTGTGGAGATAATCAAGCCCGTTCGCGACGTCTAACGCCATTCGAATCCTGATATTCCAGCTTCTGCTCTCAGGATTCTCCTCCTGATTGATCCATTGTCTCAGGGATCCATTCCCCATGAACTCATAAGCGAGGTAATACAAACAATTATGCTTGCACACACCATAAAGGCTTACCAGATTGAAGTGGTTTATCTTCTGCAGAATTCGGACTTCCTTCTTAACATCCCTATTCATTTTCTTGATGGCTACCGATTTTCCCCGAAGAACACCATGGTAAACCGAATCGCTCAGCTGATTCCGAGCAGAAAAGCCTTCGGTCGCACACTCCAATTCGTCGAACCCAAAAATTTTCAGGTCCTGCTCAAAGTCATTAATTTTTTGTTTTATATCTGTCAAATGCTTAGAATCTTTCCTCTGCTTACTCCCAAGAAAGACTGTTGTAATTTTTCCGCCTCTGGAATGCCAAAAGATAAGGAACAAGAGACATGAGAGCAGCGCAAGAGAACTTCCAATTCCAATCCCAACAAGAATCCATTTTATTGAATTCTTATGCCTTCTAGAAGGTGGCGCAACAACAAGTGGCGGATGGCCTCTTCTGGTTTGCGAGCTTAAAGGTGCACTCAGCAGAGGAATTAGAACTGTTGTATTAGGAAACAGAACAGAATCAACATCGAGAAACCCATTGGCGTCGACAATACTTTTAGTAGTTACATTGAATCTTTTACTTACATCATCAATATTATCATTCCAATCAACCAAATACGTTAGAAGGAATTTGATCCCTTCTGAAGTCTGATTTTTAGTAGGGCACGCACATCTAAGTGGCACCCTTAATTCGTCACCGACTTCTAAATCATAAATGCCGTATGGGTTTTCTTGTATTATTGAGTTACAAGATGAAAGACCCTGAAAAGTTTTGGTGGAAATTTTGTAGTAGGTATCGGATTCACTCTGGACAGTGTAAGAACTGTTAGCCTGATAGTAATTACCTGAACACAAACAATTCACCGGGACGATCACCTCCGAATTCGGAGGCAAGGGCTCAGAAGCAGAGATATTGTTAATCTGAGAAAGCTCCAGAAGAGGGGAATTCAAGAGTTTTGAGATGGAAATGGCTGAATTATAAGTAGGCTGAGACCTGAAGATTATGAAGGTCTGGCAGGAACGGTGTTGGCCGTTGCAGGTGTACAAAAACGCCGGAGACGGCCCTGTTTTGTCAGTGTTATTACAGGTGAGAGTGGAAGTTCCCGCATATTGTTGTTGGGCAGTCAAGAGTGAAACAAAATGCCATAGAATCACCAAAGAACTGACTACAATGTCAATCCTGATGAATCTTGGATACATTTTTACTGGGTTCTGCAGGCAGATGGAAAAACCAACAGAAATTAAGGACAGAAATTCTAATGGTTTTGGTGACTTTTTGGTTGGGAGTTCAAATCAGAAGTTTAATGTTTGGCTTACAGAAATGGAATTTTTTCACCAATGATCACCAAGTCAACTCAATTTCGCGTTCAAACTTTCACTTTTTTGTTGCTTACTTAAGCGTTGTCGGCTTGACCATAAGAAATTGGTAAAATATTACCACAAGCTTACACATTCGGAGAACGACCTTCTAACCAAAACAAAGACGAGTTCAGAGAAGTCTTCATTTTGGGATTTCTTAGAGGAAAGCTACATTTTTGTTTTGATCGGCGAGTTAATGTTTTAAACACATTAGTAAGGAAAAAAATGGCGATGGATTTCCAAATGAGAAATTGACCATATCTGGACTATGATCTGTAGAACAATTTGGACCTTTCCAAATTCTAAATATCATTAAGTCTCCAGGTTTGGTGCCCCTTGATTTTTTAATGTAAATATCTACCCGCCTTCTTTGGCATCAAGGTTTTCAATGATTCTTTTTCACAAAAAAAAAAAAGAAAAAAGGGGTTTTCAATGATTGGATCAGTCGGACGGAGTAAGACAATGACGGAAACATATGAGTATTTCCCCCTTCACGAAATGACTTATCGAACCTTTTTAAGGTATTTTACTTATGTTATTGTATTATTTTATTTCAACAAATTATGATTACTTCTTATATTAGAAAGAAAAATACTCTTTCCAATGGTATTGTTTTAGACTTTTAGTACCATAAAGTGAATTTATTTTTCTGATGAAACAGAGAGCATCTTCTTTTATTTCCGTGTTAGAAAACATAAAGAATTTCCATGCAGGCTTGAAGTCTTCCTCTTAATGTTAGGATCAGTTGACTTGGCGATGTTCCCTCTTGAAGTCAAACAAAGTTATATTCTACTACTTTTCACCCATGTACTCGTACTAAAAAGTTGGACTTGGCATAATGTAATTTGCGGTTGATGTCTGAATAGTAGCGAATATGCTCAAAATTGCGGATGGAATATCTCTAAGCTGGTCCTCTTCTTTTTAAATTCAGAAGTCTTTACAGTTTATACTCCATCCCTCCCATTTTGAAAGTTTCTTGCATTCAACAAACCTAAATGTGACAGATACAGTATGAATCAATGAAGAGGATATGATTACTGAGGACTCGCAGCTAACTTTTTTTTTTTTTTGAGGGAATACAAATTCTTCCCGCTGAATTTCGTACAAAATTTTAAACTTTTTAGTACTGGGAAAATGTAGAGCGTCCTAATTTTTTCTTTTCAGTGCCCTAAAAAATTATATTTTGACCATTTTGTCCTTATTATTATTATTTTTTTTAAAAAAAATAAAGGGCGAGAAATATTTACGCCAGCCGTGGCTGGCGCAGGAGAAAGGCACCACCCATTAGAGGGTGGCGCTCAATTTTCTCACCTCTCATAGTTGGGAAACGAGAAACATTTTCCCCCCTTGAAATGGGGGTGGCGCACCCCTCGGTTTGGCGAGCGAAACCGGAAATAATTTTTTAAAAAAATTTATTAATTAATTTTTTAGTTTATTTATTTAATTAATAAAAGATAATTATAATGGATTATCTTCCAACTTAATACAAAGGAATCCAATTGTTATAGAAGCAGAAATTGATTAATTTATTTTAAAAAAAAATTTACACATTCTAATCGGTATCTAAACAACTACATATGATTATTGTGGACTCGCAGCTAACTTTTTTTTTTTTTGGGAGGGAATATTAATTCTTCCCGCTGAATTTCGTACAAAATTTTAAACTTTTTAGTAAGTCCTTCCAAACGCGGAAAACAGTCTACTAGAGGTCATAAGACTCATAAACCTCTGCCACTGTAATGTTCTGCAGTTGATAAACTCTGGTCTGGTCGACTATCTTCTACAATTTTGCTCTGGATCCTACTGGGCACCAAGTCCCTCAACAATATCAGCTGAAATAAATGAATTCTAAGGAATAAGTCAATTTCATCTTAGTGACTTCTAAATTCCTAATATGAAATGATCATTAAAACAAGCCTTTAAATGGTCATACCTTATCAACATAATTTTTAACTTTTTAATTTAACTCCGCCTGTAAAACACCAAGTAAGGCAAGTAGTCATTGTTTTTTCAATTTTTTTTCCCTGTGGGCGGTGGCGGCAGAGGCAAAGGGACCCTATTGGTAACGGTAGTTATCCTATGCACCTATTATAATTCAACTCTATCTGTCGCAAAAAAAAAAAAAAAAAAAGAAAAAGAAAAATCCATATTGACGTTGAAATTTGTACTAATTTAATACAAATCTCGAACTCAATATCAATTATTTTTCTAGGATGGAGGGACTATACCACCCCTGCAAAAGTTTAATGAAAATTCATCCCTAATTTTTATCCTGCCTACTTCCTAACTCTGCCACTATATATGCACCTGCTTGCGCAAAATTTAATGTAACTCATAATTTATCCTTTGTTTAGATAACAAGATTAAATCAACTAAGGCTGCATATATTTCCATTGATTTTAGCATAGAATATTTCAACATCCGCCATTCTTAATGATAGGTCTTGAAGTTTCATGTTATTTATGGGTATTTGTATAGCATTTTGGATTAGATTGTTCACTTATGTTGTGTATTTTGATGTTTTTGGTTCTTAGGAGTGATTGGAGCTGAGATTGAGAAAAATGTTTCATAAACACACATTTTTAGAGCATTTTGACAAGGAAGCACAAAAAGAGAGCAATGACATCACATTCCCGCGTGGGCACACAAAATCCATGCCAAAATCAATGAAGAAAGCATAAAATTCCAGCAACAATGTTGTATTCCCACGTGGGCACGCTGTAATAGGGACTAAAGTGCAAAATTTCTAAAGTTTTAGGATCAATTTATAATTTTGGCAAACCCAAGGGACCAATATGCAAATTTCGGAAAAATTAATTTGCAGCTGCGAAATTCTGAAAGCATCTGGCGGCTGACCTAAATTTTGGCATATAAATTGATTTTATTCTTTTCTTTTAGAAGGGGGCTGAACGTGAGAAGAAGAAGAGGAGGCTGGAGTGGTCCTAAGCCGCCTATCTAGCCATTTTGGGCGTTATTCTTCCCCATTCTCCATAATTTTGTTTCAGTAAGGCTTTATTATGTGTAATTAAATTATTTTTCTAGTTGAAAGATATTGAAGCCTTGGTTTGAATAGTTGTGAGATCTAAATGTTGTTTCTCTTTCAATTTCTTGTGAGTATTTGCTTGTTCTATTGCATGATTGATATGATTATTGTGGATTCATGAATAGCTGGTAGCATTCATTATTTCATGTTAGTTAACAACCAATAAGGCAGCAAGGTTTGTTGTTTTAAAAGGGACTGATATAATTAAATTACTTGGTAAGTGATTTTGTTATAAGAACAAGTAATCTGGTTTTTTTTATTAAACAAGGTTTGTTTCATAGGGACCAGAATTAGGTCTTTGTACTTAATGCAGTCGTTTCTTAATCTTAGGAGGTTCCAGGATTGAATTTCGACTAGTGTGTTTAATGAAGGTTTTCTTAATCACTAAACTTAGTTCAAGATTGAGTTGTTAGGAGGTTCTAACAACGAAAACTAATTTGCCTATAAGTGATTGAGCATCATTGCATCTATGACTAATTGTTTAGACCAAGGTGGATATAAAATCTTTTGACTAGAAACTTTCTCATAATTTGCTTTCATTTTTTTTAACTATCATTTGAATTTTATTTTAACTACATTTTAGTTTTAAAAACTCAAAACCCCCCTTTCGGTTACTTATTTGAAAGAAACAAATCCACCATTCCCTGAGGAGACGACCTTGCTTTCCTATGCTACTAGTTTGAAAGTAGGTTAACTTGTTTGTTGGCTTGACACCCACCACTTAATTTAAGAGGTGGCGATATCAAGTTTCCACAAGTGTGTTTACCAGTCAGTAACTAAACCAGTTAATTAAACGGCAGATATGAGTTGATCTTGGAGTTCATTGGTTAATCCAGTTGTAGTGGTTGAGTTTTTTTTACGAAAGCAATTAGGAAATGGTAAATGCATTTTTACTTCATCAGCCAAGTTTAATGACCACCTTTTCTGCTTGTTTATCTCCTCAACATTTTATTTACTGTTACTGAACCAGAAAGATGCATCCAAAGTTCATCATGATCAATAGAGTAATCAGTGCCTCAGTAATTTTGTGTTGTTTTGCTTCGTTGTCGACAGCCCAACAAAAATATTCCGGCGAATCGGTTCTCGACTGCGACAACGGTGACAGAACAGGACCATTCTTCATCATTTCTGTACACCTGCAATGGCCTAAGGCGGTCCTGTCCAGCCTATCTAATTTTCAGGCCTCAGCTAACTTATAACTCTGCCATTTCCATCTCAAATTTCACATCTTCATCTCTCCCGGAGCTTTCCAGGATCAACAACATCTCAGAGTCTGAACTCTTACCCCTGAATTCAGAGATCATGGTTCCGGTGAACTGTTCGTGTTCAGGTAAATATTACCAGGCCACAACTTCTTACACCATCCAGAATGAATACGAAACCTACTACAAGATTGCTAACCAAACTTTTCAAGGCCTTTCAACTTGTAATGCACTTATGCAACAGAATCCATACGATGCAGAGAGCTTACAAGTCGGTTTCAATTTGCGGGTGCCACTCAGATGTGCTTGTCCTACTAGAAATCAGACCCTGGAAGGGATCTAGTTTCTTTTAACATATTTGGTTACTTGGAATGACAATATTAATGATATAAGTGATAGGTTTAATGTGAGTACTAGAAGTGTTATTGATGCCAATCGATTTTGTGATGATGATTCTGTAATTTATCCCTTTACCACTGTTCTAATTCCTCTTCAGACCATTCCTTCTGCCTCCCACATTATGGACCACCCGCAACCTCCGCCAAATTCAGTGGAAACACCTCCAATTTCATTTTCTCTCTTTCCAAATAGAAGAAGTTCAAACAAAACTCGGGTTTATGGTATCATTGGAACTCTTGGGGGGGGAATATCTCTTGTTTCCACATCTGAACTTCTTGCTTTCTACTTTTATGTTTACAAAAGAAAGAATAATGATTCAGTTCCTGTTAAGGAAGCAG